GAATTATATGATAATGATATTAAAAAATGAAAAAAAAAAAAAAGTGAAGATAGAATGAAGATAGATGATTGAAAGTTGAAAACAATTTATTAAAAGGAATTATAATAAATATTTTGAATTTTATAGACGCATATACAAAGAGAAAGATGTTAGAATTTAAATTTGGAGAATGATATGGCAAACAATTAATTTATATATTTTTAAATACAAAAAAGATCTAATTTATAATTGAGGAAAACATCTATATTTATATATTTGATTAAATTATAAGAGAGGAGGTGAATCTGAAGGAATTTCTTAAGGAAAGTGTATAAATATTATGTAACTTGCTATATATACATATTCACTTTTGTTGTATAGTATAGAATTCTTTAGAATAGACTCTTTACAATATTGCACACTTTTTAATTTCATTTAAATAATTTTTCATTTTTGACAATTTCAAACTAACGCAATTTGTATTTATTACACGAAAAACCGTCTGTCCGGAACGCAATTAACGTGGAAAATTGTTAAAATATGGAAAACGTCTGTGTGGAACACAATTTATACTAAAAATAGTTCAAATATGGAAAAACGTCTGCCTGGAACGCATAATTTATACTAAAACTAGTTGAACTACGAAAAACCGTCTGTCTGGAACGCAATTAACGCAAAAAATTGCTAATATATGGAAAACGGCTGTCTGGAACGCATAATTTATACTAAAAATAGTTCAAATATGGAAAAACGTTTGCCTGGAACGCATAATTTATACTAAAACTAGTTGAAATACGGAAAACCGTCTATCTGGAACGCAATTAACGCAGGAAATTGCTAATATATGGAAAACGGCTGTCTGGAACGCATAATTTATACTAAAAATAGTTCAAATATGGAAAAACGTCTGCCTGGAACGCATAATTTATACTAAAACTAGTTGAAATACGAAAAACCGTCTGTCTGGAACGCAATTAACGCAGAAAATTGTTAATATATGGAAAACGGCTGTCTGGAACGCATAATTTATACTAAAAATAGTTCAAATATGGAAAAACGTCTGCCTGGAACGCATAATTTATACTAAAACTAGTTGAAATACGAAAAACCGTCTGTCTGGAACGCAATTAAAGCAGAAAATTGTTAATATATGGAAAACGGCTGTCTGGAACCAAATTTATACGAAAAATCGTTTAAATATTGAAAAATGTCTGTCTAGAAAGCAATTTGAATACAAAATCGCTAAAATATTAAATTTTAAATCCATAGCTGCTGAAATATTGAAAAACGTCTGTCTGAAACGCAATTTCGATGTGAAATAGTTAGCATTATGAAAAAATATTTGTCCGGAACATAATTTTAATGGAAAATCGGTTTAGTAAAAACGCAATTTGTCTTGTTTTTGCAAGCTATATATGTAAAAATCTCTTAACGAATGATTATCCTTTAAAAGAAAACACCGCATTATAATATTACATTTATATTATATAATTAAGAACATAATTACTTTCAGAATAAAAGAACCCATACATATATTTTGTTGCGTTTTTCAACCAAAAGAATCGTTTCAAGAAGACAAGAGAAGGGATTAAAATTTTGTATATGTACGTATAATAAAAAAAAGAATAAATTAAGTAAATTACAAATTTTAAAATATTGCTTTTGGCAAATTCTATAATTTAAAACTTTTTTAAAATATACAAAAACTTAAACTAAGTATATGTGTATATAACATACATTTAAGAATTAAATTAATGGCACTTATACAAAAAGTTATTAATACCCGCCTTTAGCAAAAAAAAAAATTTCTTTTTCACTTCAATTTCCTCTAGAGCTATATTATAGCGTTTTTTTTATTGATTTTTACCTTATAAAAACGAAAATTAAAACAATATTGTATTTTTTGCTTTAGTTCTTTAATCAAATATACATTCATACACACGCATATGACACGGTCACATATAAGATGAATCGACATGGTCAAATTAATTAGATTTCAAAATAAGAATTTAAAAATTGTTTCAAAACAAATTAACTACTTATGTATTTTACACCTCGCCTTGAAACATATTACAATGTCGTGTTAGTATAGGTGCAGTTTGCCTTTTAAAAATTACTGAGCTCAAAAAAAAATGCAAATATACCTAAAAAGAAAACTAATTTCTTTCACATTTAAAACTAATTCAAAGTAACAACAAATAAAATTACGTATAAAATTCGCAATAAAATAATATGGAATTGACATTGTGTTGTGATAATCACCGTATCCTTATCTATAACTAATTTGAACTTGACATGAAAATATGAAACAACATGTCTCTCCTAATTACTGATAACATTAAGAACTATAATATTCTATATACTGAAAGATTGCTGACCTATTAACATCTAATAAAATTTTAATTAATTATTTAAAATTAAAAAAAAGTAATTGGGTTCAAATATATAAAAAAAATTATTGACCCAAAGACAACCTCATTAAAAAAAATGAATACAAATGTGAAAAACACAGTGAATCATTTTAAATGTGGCAAGACATATTTTTATTTTTTATATTAAAATATAATTAGAATAAAGCAATAAATAAATTTGATAACAATTTTTCTCCATCTAGAAATAAAATTATTTTATAATTTTATTAGCACATTGCTGTTGACATCAGGATGCTGTTGACATATTAATGCTCTTATCATTTTATAATTGTTATTGATAAAGATTCTATTGTCAGGCAAATTGTACACGTAAGATAAGCATAATTTGGATGGGAAGAATGGTTTAATTTAGCCTTTATGCCAAAACTATAGTCTAATTGCAAAAGTACTGCAAGTACATTTTTATAATCACGAAATTTGACACGCTGATAACTTACATAGTAAAATTTGTTAGCTTACATAGTAAAAGTTTTCATAAATTCTATAAGATATTCACTTTTATATACGATTTAAATAATTTTTCCATCAGTGTATCATGGCTATTTTATTTACAGCATTTTATTCTTAAATAATTTGCGTGTAAACATTTCAATTTAAAATTATCTATATAATAAAAATCAATAACTAGCAAACTATAGGATTCTTACTTTTTGCTGGCATACACATGTTATTCAAATATCGTTTGTGCATCATCATTCTTTGCTCAAATTTTGTAATTTATCAGGGGCTATGTAATTATTTTTTTAAAATGAATTTATTTTAAGAAATGCGCAAATATTGCACATGTTGAACATATCTTTTTATATCTACAATTTTCATGAAAATAGAAGAACTGTCCATTTTAATTACATAACGATTAGAGCATATATGCCACACCAATTCCATAATTCAGATACTCCTCAACATTATTTCAAATTTACTCAATATTAATCTTAATACAACTAGTTGGTAGAATTATTTACAACTTACTGCAATAATCATTTACCACGATTTATTACATATTACAAACCAATATTAAAAATAATAATTCATAAATCATTCATAAATTCACATTTCAAGATTTTTTTTATTAAATATTAATATAAATGAATAAAATAACTATAAAAGATTATTCAAATTATAAATAATTTTTAAAGATTAAAATAAAAATACAATAGAAATAATTCTTTAATTATGTGATAATAAACTAAAATCCGAAAAATTTCCAATATTCTTCGGATTTAATAAACATAAAAAAATATATTTAAATACTTCTTTTTTTTCGACTTTCTATAAAAATTCGCCATAAATATCGCGGAACGTCGAATTTAAAATCTATTCAAAATTCAATCGAATTTTATAAGCTTATTTTATAAAATTGAATAGCTTTTTTGGTTCAAAATTTTTTTCTAAAGAAATGATTTAGCAAAATTAACATAAATTAATATGTAGAAAAAAAAGTTTTTTTTTTTTATTCATAATTTAAAATTAAATAAATTTTTTTAAGGCGGATACTTTAATAATATATAGATGATTATTATAGTTATATTATAATAGAGTATGTAAATCCATTTCACGTGCCATTAAATTAAAAACTTTAAATTTTCTACAAATTAATTAGTTTTGAGTAATTTGTAAAAATTAAATTTGTTGATGCCTTTATATATACCCACTTAAATAAGATATTAATAAAAAATTATAATAATTTTTAATAAAGCGAAATTTTGTCACAGCTCTTCATTATAATTGATCAAATTTATTCATTATAATGCTTCAAATTTTGAAGCAAGTTTTATTTTTAAATAAGACCGGCCAGGTGAAGATTACTGTATACCAGCCAGTTGATAGATCTACACGTATCTCATTTTTTTTTCGTTCTCCACTTGGGAGTCAAATCCATAACATTAAATTTTTACTAATTATATCAACAATTAAATACACCTTATATTGACCTAAACTGCACACATAATTTCATATTATTTTAAGAAAATTAATAAAATAATTTTATCCCTAAATAAAATTTTAATTGTTATACACTTCCGATGTAAATTTCACAACTGAAATACCTACATATATATAAAAAATAACCACAAAATTAACCTATATAATTTTGAACAATAATCAAGTCTAGACCCTTTAGTAAACTAATTTATAATAATTAAAATATATTGTGGTTTATTTTAATAAACAATGGGATATTTATATCATATATGCTTTATAGAATTAGAATTATGTCATAAATATTAATATGAAAGTAAATTTTATAGGACTTGTCGTACATTTTGGAATATTTAAATTCAAACTTTATAAGATTTATTAATAAAATATTTTCCAAATTAATACCATCATCAATTAAGTCGAACAACTTATGTATGGGGAATCTTAATAACCTCAATATTTTTTGAAATAAGTAACCAATCTGAAACTATTGAAAAATTTTGGCATTCAATTCACTCAATGAGAATTCGCCTGACATTCAAAATTTTCCTATCAAACTTATTAAGCTTACTCCATAGTACAGGGTGGCGCAAAAAGAACGATATGTTTTGAATTTTTGATAACTTTTTTATTTGTTATTTTTTTTTTTTTTTTATTTCAGAATCTTGTAAACAAGGCTTGGCCAATTTATAATGGAGCAGTACACAACGCAGCAGCGAACAAAAATCATAGAATTTTACTATCAAAATCACAGGTCTGTTACTTTAACTCGGCGAGCATATCGGCGATATTTCAATGTGCGGAATCTGCCCTCTGCAGCAACAATAAACCGCCTGGTAAGACATTTTGAAGAAAATGTAGTATAGCAGTTGAACGAAGTTTTTCATAAATAAAATTAACAACGAAAAAAGAAATTGTTTGCATGTAAGTCAATTTCACGCAAATATGATAGCAAAAACGGAGCTTAAATGAAACTGAGTGACTCGGCTAATCACGCGGTGAAAATTTTTAATTGAAGCAAAAATTGTTCTGTTCTACATTTACTACAATTTATAGTAAATTTGCTGCAATTTGAGAAACCCATTTACTGCAGTTTATCTGACCATTGGTGCAGTGGTTATGGCACCGGTCCTTTAACCGAAGGGTCTCGGGTTCAAACCCTGGTCAGGTCACTATTAAAATTATATTCAATATTATTATAACTTAATATACAATACTGATAAATATTATACAAGTAATTTTCAAATATTCGTAATATTCGATATTAAAAAAAAAAAAAAACTAAGAAAAATAAACAGTAAATATTAATAACCTCAAATAATTAATATAAATAAAACTACGGCAGGCTAGTCACCTACCTAGTTAAACTCTATGACGCTATGAAACTAGTGCATGAGAAATCATGCACTAGCCCTATGCTCCTTCTAGGAGTGAATAAAGGAAAAAAAAAAAAAAAATTTACTGCAGTTTAGAAAATGGAAACAACACCACTGGACATTTATATATTCAATTTAGTTTGAATTCGAATTACACTCAATCCTTATGCATACATATGTACATATTTAATTACAATTAAATACCTTGAAGTACATAAAAATCTTTGAAGAACTTTCAAAAACCTTGTGTATTACTTAAGACACTGTTTTATAATTGAAATCAATAATAATTAAAATTTTAAAATAAATTATTAAATTAAGTGCAATATAAAAATTTAATATTGATGCAATTATAAATATGATGGTGTTTTGCTGCTCACATACTATATGACGCACAAGAGCCTACCTATACAATTATTCTATACACAAAATTTATATAATCCATATATTATTTATATATGTATATACAACAACAAAAAAAATTGTTACAAGTAATTCTTTTGGATGCAAACTAAAAAAGATTAATGGACGGAAATAAATTGTATAATTAATGTCTTTTGTACTTAAATTATAAATAAGAAAAAAATGCATTTTTATAGTTCATTTATATTATTGTAAAATTAATGGAATTGCATTCATTTTGTATCTATATGGAGTCATTTAGACAATATTCAATTTAAATTCATTAGAATTCTCTAATCTAAATAGAGAATAATATAATTAAATTGAAAATTATTGCACAGTCTATAAAGAATTTTAGTACTTTATTACTACATATGTGCTTGTTTAGATATAAAAGAAATTACAGCTACACATTTTGTTATGATCACGTTTTGAATAAGAAAAATTTAAATTTAAATAAGAAAATTATTGTTTGTTTAAATTATTAAAGAAATTACCATATAAAATTCTTCCTCAATCAATGCAAATTAAATTTTGCAAAGTTAAAATATAATTTTTTTTAATATTTCAATTTCTATATTATTATTTTAGGCATTTTGCACGTGATTTCTTACAGTATTATCAACGGAAAATCAACTCATTTTGTAAAACTCAACAAAACCTGAAAGAGATTGCAAACCAACATTTTAAACTTCATAAGATTGAGATATAGCAAATTGTAACACGTTCCAGTTCTGTTTACATTGGAGATTATTTGTTGACCAGCCTATTCATTGAGTCATTGTGGAAGACATACGAACTGTGTTTTTGATGTGGACTATACCTGATATTGATTTCATCTTATATTTGAAAACCATTTTGAACACACTTATGTAAATGGAGATATTCCAATAGAAATATGCAAAAAATGTAATTAAAAACTGATTTCTTCAAATAGATCGACCTAAAAGTTAATTGTAGCTGCTATATATACGGCAAGAAATCAGAAAATTTGCTATTTTCCTGAATTTTTTCTTTAAATTTAAATACCAAACTGTTTAAAATCAGCACGTATATTATTAATATATTTTAACAATCGCAATGATTATTGACGATGCAGATTAGGATTAAATTTTATTTTTTCTAAAATACAATAATTTTGTTTGAATAAACCATGTTTTCTCTTTAATATTTATTCAATTTTAATTAATTTTTTTTTCTTTCAATTTTAAATTCATCTGAATTTTTTTGTTTAATTCAAAATTCTGACCTAGAATCTTAACTAGATATGTTATAGAATTAAATCAAATGCAAATTTTAAATTTTTCGCAATAAAACATAAGTAATATATGTATATATATTTGATTCATATATATGTATAAAATTTGATTATATACCCATATAATCAAATTAAATTTTAATTAAGAATTAAAGGTGAAAAAAAAGCAAATAAAACAAATTTAAAATTTCTCCTATATTTTTTTTTTAATCGTGTTCTAGTTTCTATTTAAAAATATCTGTATGTATATCAAAATTATACCTTTAATACAAACATACACCCGAACGAAATTTATTCATTTAAAATAACTGAAAAGGTATATTCTTAATATAATACAGGTATAACATAATAAATTTTGTATAAGAACAAAAAAATTTTTAAATTTTTTGGAATAAACAAAAAAAAAATTACTTTAAATTCTGATATTTTTATGCTATAGCAGAGCCAGATTGGTTTACAAAATATTCTCTGACCTAAATCATAATTATAATCAAAAAATTTTAAAATAGAATTCACGTGAATATCTTTGCCATAATTATATCAAATGTGTATATGAGTATAAATATTGCGTATATCGCTAAATTATAAGGGCAAAATACATATTAAAAATATGTTTGAACAAAACATAATGAAATAAATTTAATTTAATCAATTTATAATAATACATATTCTGTTACAGCTCCCCATTTTGAGCACATTTCTAATAGAATTGGAAAAAAATGTTCATGACATTTTAATTTTAGTCAGTCATTTTATTTAGGATTGTCGTGCGATTCGTCGATTTATATAATTTTATAAAATTACAGTAATCGAAATTTCTTTTTAAATAATTACGTAACACTATTTTTTTAATAACACCTAAATGTTCTCAATATTTTGATTTTATGTAGGCAAATATTTGATTTTATGTATTATTTAGAGCTGTAATTAACGTAATGTCGTACATTCTTATCGAGAAAGTTTTATGCATATATTCAAATGGATGTGTACGCGACCGAATGACTTTTGTCGTAATGTCGTATACTCTTATAAAATGACTTGTTAAACAGAGTAAATATAAGTATACACGGCCAAAAAAGTTTTTCGTAATATGGTACACTCTTATAAAAATTGCTTATAAAATGGAGAAAATTTTATATACCCAAATAGAAGAATGCGCTTTTGTTGTAATGTCGTATACGTATGTAAAATCAGTTTAAATCATAATTTAAAATAATATTTTGCATTAATTATCGGTATATAATCAATTAAATTTAAATAATTTTTAATTTAAAATAATTCATAATGTATGTAGGTACATATACGCATTTCTAAATTCATTTAATATGTTTTAACATATTGAACATGTAGGCACTAATGAATATATACATATATATTTTAGTTTTAATATAAAAATAATATTTATTTTCTAATTTTAAATAATAATGCATAAAATATGAGAACAGTAGCAAAAATATTCCATATTAATCGATATCTAAAAATGCAAATATAAACAATGATTAATTAAAATTTTTAATATTGACAACCAATATTGTAATATGTACACACATTAAGGTTGTATATATAATAACCTCCATTCGAATTTTTCAAATTAAAACAAATTCAATATTAATATATTATTATAATTTTCCGAAATAATATTCGATATGTCATAAAATTTACACAATAATAAATTTTAAAATTAATGCGTTTTCTTATATACTAACTTAATTTCAATATATAACATAAATGACATTCAAAGAGTATAACAAGTTTACTGAACTTATATTAAAAGGTTCATCTATATATAGCAACATGTATGAATAAAATTTAAAATATTAAAATATTCATTAACATCGTAATATCATTAAAGTACAATTTATATTTTATATTGCTTTGCATATCATTATGTGTGCAACATTTTAATGTAGAGTAAAACGCCTACATTCTATATATGATAAATGATTCTGGGCAATTCAAGAAACACAACACATACATAATAGTATAATTTAAAACCTTTTGGTAACTACTTTTGGTTTATATAACAATTTTTCAATAAAACATGACATCTCAGTTTAGTTTTGTTCATTTCTTTGATTTTTTTATGATTTTGGTTCTGTTTTTAACAACAACTCGTATATATTTTACATTTTCTTGTTGTAAATTAATTTAAAGGAGCATATAACCTTATAAACCTGATCTTCCTTAGAAATCTATAATAATTTTTTATTCACGTTTTCATTTTTAGCTAGTAGATATTAAAATTTAATTTTATGAAATCAGGAATATTTGAGTAGGAGAAGTTGTATGATTAAAAGTAATGCGATAATAATTAAAATATTGATGGAAATTTTATTAGTTGCTAATTATTGTAATTTTTGTTCTTTTGAAGATTTTTATTATATGTAGTTTTCAAAATTCTATATCAAGTCTATTTATTAAATTGTAATCTATTAGTTATAAATATGCGTAAATACAAAATAAACACTATACATTTTAAATTTAAAATTATATTTGCAAAAATATTAATTACCATACTAAAAATAATGTTTGTTATTAAAATTTAATTCTTACATACATACGCCTTTGTAATTTTATTTTAAATTAATAAAAAGTAAAGCAAATATGGTTTGTAAAGTAGCACCTTTCCCTCTTGAATAAAGAAAATATTGTTTGTTAAAACAATGTACTTACTTTATTACCAATATATTTAATTTGTTTCAATTATATATATAATAGGCGTGAATAGGTATATCAAATTATTGCATATTGCATACATTTAAGATAATCGGGTTGCATATGTTTAGGATTTTGAAAAAATTGAAAAAAGTATTAATATAATGATCGATTTCGATGAAAACGTTTCTTATCTTTTAATAAACTGTTTATTAATGTTTAAAAATTTTTAAAATTTCAGATTCCCACAACTTATACCGTTTAGAAGAAAAACGAGTAGAAAACATGCTGTACCAGCTATGCTGTGCCAGAATAGAAAAAATTTGTCGCTATCTCTTTGCGTTCAAGGAATTTGGAAAAATGTTTATAATCTCGATATATATAACGGTATTTATGAAAGAAATGTCATTTTTAGGATTTTGAGGTATTATAGCTTTTAGAGAGGAGAAATACATAAGTAAAAATTTTCTTCTGGAAAAATAGATACTACAACAAAAACTCAAATTGCCATAACTATAAAATATTCTTAAAAAAGTTACAAAATGTAGAAATACACTAATTTTATAAAGAATAAAATCTTCCTATATCACAAGAAACAGAAAAATTATTTTAAAAAATTTACATTTTGAATTTATTTTTTTATTTCTTATATAAAATTTTATATTACACTACTTTATAGTTAAAAAGATTTTACGAATTGTAAACCATTCCACAAAGAGATAACAAGAGAATTTTCATTTCATTTATTTCAGTAGCATAAAATCCATTTATTTTCATGTAGTTTTATTTTTATTTGTTTTATTGTTGTTTTTTTATACATCTAATTTTTATTATTATAGTTCAACTTTTACATATATGAATAATTTATAAAATAAACTTTTAAAAATATTATTACAAAAAATAATGTTTGTCTGTTATTACGACAATTTGTAGTATTCAAAATTAAATTTAAGAAACTTTATTATAGACACGATTCATTTATATGAATTGGTTTGTGTTTACAATAATAATTTCGAATTTTTTACGATAATTATCATTTTAGTGATTCGATGCTCAGAATAAGCTACCATTAATGAATCCACATTGTATTGTAATTGTATCGTCAAAAATGTCAATGTTGCATGCTGCTTGCCATTATGTTTTTTGTACAATATCATTTCATCGTAAATAACAGTAATTAACTGCTATTACAATTACGATATTGATTTTTATTCTTACTTTGTAAGTAAGTAGTTACATATATATTTTTATTATTTACTATTATTATTATTATTTTGTTAAATTCTGGGCGATAAATGAATAAATTAAAATTTATTGAAAGTTAAAGAAAAGAGAACTATAAAAAAAAATAAAACAAAAATAATAAAAAGAAAAATATTCAACAGATAATTTGTAAACTTGATTAATTGAATGTCGAAACGGATGGATGGTATTTTTGCATGCGATTTCAAAAAAACAAAAAAAAAAAAATTACAAAGGAGTAATTGGATTCAGGTTAAAAGTCTCTCTCTCTATTCTTGTGGGCTGCGTCTGCTACAGTTAGTTACTTTTTTTGTTTGGATTTTTTGAATTTTTAATTTTGATTTGTTTTTTTTGGTTTGTTGCATTTTACCTTATACTACTTTTATGTTTTATGTTTTTACCTACCAAGTCCCACTTGTGGAGACATTCTTATTCATACGTATAATTTTTTTAAGAGAGTAGGCTTTAAAGAAATATGTTTCAATTTTTTTTTTTTTTAATTTTAATTGTGATATTGAAAATTGAAAATCAATGTTTTATGGAAATTCTGATCGGTTTATTTATTTTGTTTTTTCTTTTTTCAACTTTTCAATTCCGAATGATCATTTCTTTTTATTGATTTGTTTTTATACAATTCGTATAATAGTTTTATGCCTGCCGTTGTTATAGGTATGTAAATATACATTATATTTGTTATAATAATTAATGGAATTTGTATATTAAATAAAATAAAAAAAAATAATAATAAAAATAAAGTGAAATACATAAGCATAATATTGATATTTTATTTTAAGATTAATTGCAAGGAATTTCAATTAAAAACTATAATAATGGTATTAATAATATTTTGTATGTATGTATGTATATACACATATATAAAGTTTAGCTACGGATTAATTTTTGAATAACAACATTCACACAGTCCAAAAGGTTAATGTTATAAAAATAACAATAATAATATTATCAATATTATTGTAATGTTATATACCAAAATGTTAAGTATGTATATCGTATATGTATATCGTATATTCAAAGTCGCATCTTTTATTATACATTGTATATAACTTATATCTTATATTTCAAAAATGGATAGGTTAAAAGTTATATGGTCAATGATATTTTTGTTTAATAAATTACATATGTATATATATATATACATACATACATAAACATATATTATGTATGTATTTCAACAAAATTTAAATTGAAGACTTTTTAATTAATTATGTGTGTATATATAATTTTATATTTACTTTATTGTAATGGAAAGGTGATAAATGGTCATTGAATAAGTCATAACAAAAATTTTAAATAAATCTATATTTAATAAAATATAGTTATACTATATTATATGATAATATCGTATATTGCTTTATCCTTAATATTATAAATGTAAAATATTGCTGTCAGCAACAATGTTTTATGTATATTCGAAATGATTATAAGAACGGATATTTAAATACGGATAAAAATAATTGAATTAAATAAAGAAATTATTAAATTTTCAAATATAATTATTTATTTAAAATTTCTTCAATTATATATTAAAATTCATTTTCTTTATTATATTTCTTGTATACAATATAACAATTATATACTGCAAAGCGACTTAATTTTTTTACTACGCAATAACAATGCGTTTTTTTTTATTACCGCATTTCGAAAGACGCGGTAATAAAATTTTGACTTAGCACGTCTTCGTGTACTTAGCCCTAATGAATGTTATTTTCGTGAATAACTACATGTCAATGTAGACGTTTTTAATGTAGATCATTTTAATTGTATAAAGTTCTTAATAAAGGCAAATTCATGCACCTACATAATTTAAGAATTCTTCTACCCTAACGCAAAACAGTACCTATATATAATGTAGTAGTTTTAAGTAATAAAATATAATTTTAAAGAACTGTTAAGGCTTTTTTTTATTGTTTTAATCGAAATGCTTTATTATAATATTATATTGTACATATTATTAAAAATAATATGTACAATTATTTATTATATGTATTATGTGCTCTTATAGTTAAACTGTTATACCACGGTTATAACTTTATGTATATTATATTATATTTTCTCTTTTAATAAAAAAAAATACTTTTTTCAGGATCAATAGGTGTGTATACAGATTTTATACATGCCTACATACATATATAATTTATATTTTATTTAGCATTGCAACAATCAAAATTGACATTTTAATGCATTTTAAAATTTAACCATTTTTAAAACTTTTAGTCATGATTTTTTCCAGAAAAAAGAAAAAATATAACTAAAATCCAGTTTAAATGTATATAGCCTCATTTTTATTGCCGCATCAATAAAACCAACTTATACACATACCTACATACCTAAATAGGGTATATACATTAAATCATATCTAGAAAGCGTGATTTTATTAACAAAAAACCGTAAACATGCCGCATATTCGTATCATGTAAAAGTCTAAAACGAAAATAATATTTCTATACACACATACATATTTGTACGTACATACATAATGCAGTATGTGTATAAGTTTGTATTTCCCTTAACTTTCAATTATCACATTGTGCGTTTCCATTTTTGGACGTTTTTTTTTTTTTTTTTGGAACTCTTCTTCTTCTTCTTCATAACCCATAAAGTTAAAGATAAAAAATTTTTAATTGGGATCCTTTCAACGGTAATAAAACAAAAAACTAAAAATCAAAAGCAACAGAAAAAAAAATTTCGATCATCATTATATTGTCTTTATAATCAGACTTCTTACACTATATAAACTGCTACTATGCAAACATTATAAAAAAAAAAAAAAAACAAAAAAAAAAAAAGAAACTGTTAAGAATTTTCGGTAGCGGCGATTGTACAAAGTGCCCACCTTATTCTTAAATTTTCTCTTTTTATTTTCTCTTATCACATTGTTGATTTTTATTGTTACCAGATTTACTTATATTGCCGAATTTCAATTACTGTTCGTAATACATAAAATTTTAAAAAAAAATTAGTAGTATGATTATTCGTCGAACGAACTCAAAAATATCGAGTAACGGACCGTTAGTCCGTATTTGCTCGATAAGTTGATGGAGAAATTTCCAAAAATATTGTTCAAATATCGGTATATAAGAATACGGAAAGCACAGCAATTGATTTTTTTCGATAATGTTAACTGATAAAGGGAAAACTTCAAAGCTTTTAAAGATTTATATTCACTGCAAAATTCTTCTATTTATGATACCCCTTGGGTTTGGGAGGAAATTTAAATAAAGATTTTGTATAATAAAAAAACATAATAAGAGAAACGAAATTTTAATGTGAGACCCGAATTTTTAACACTATTATGATCTCGAATAATTCGAAAACTTAATTTTTTCCCGAAATATTAACAATGATGGTTGATAATTAAAGAAAAAGAAAGCATTATAAACGGAATTTAACATGGTTAATTTATAAAATTTAAAAATTAACTTTATTGTTGCATTATGTACCTTCATATTTTTTATATTACTTCTAATTTTAGTGGTCCATTTTCTTCTCAATCAGCAGAATCCATTTCTTTTGAATGAGAAGGAATTTATGTAACAAAAAAATTGTTTTTTTTTTTTTTCTTTTTCGGTAATACTGATTTTTCGGTCCAATCAAAATTCCACATTTGAAATATTTTAAAGAAAAATAATAAAAAAAAAACAACACACAGAGTATTAAAAACAATAATATTATAAGAAAATGTTAACATAATATTAAAAAAATAAAAAAACAGAGACCCTGTGCTAAAAGAATAAAGAAAAAAGTTAATAAGGCTTAAATTATTTAAAAGAATTCTTTAACAAAAACCCCCATTTGTGATATCAAAAATAACATTCATATATGTAGATACATACTAACATACATAATTATAATATACATATACATATTATATCGCAATAACTGAGTGAAAAAAATGGTGGCGGCTTCTTGTGCAAATTCTTATTCTTAAAAATAAAAAAAATGTAAAAATTAATTAAGAAATAAATGTAAAAAAGGGATGTAATAGGTGTTTACGATTGAAAAGTAAGGATTTATGACTAAATTCACAACAATTTTTTTTTTTTGATTTTTATTTATACATACAATATAAATATACATGTGCCATATACGTACATATATAATGCATAAACAAAGTACACATAGTATTTTTGTTTTGTTCCTACTTTACTCCTCTTGGGAGCATAGGGGAGTAAAGCATTATACCTTGGGAGCATAGGTAAAGCAGGAACAAAGCAGGTGAGTAAAGCAGACTTCTCCAACGAACTCTGTTAGGGGCCATTCTTTTTACTTCTGGCCCATGTCATTTTAGACGTGGCAATTTCTTTCTTTATTGTTCTTTACCACGTATTCTTCCATGGCCGTCCAACACTTCTTCTACCCTGCAGATTCCACTCCAATATCTGTCTTGCGATGGTTTCAGTTGGGTGTCGAAATGAATGGCCTATCCATCCCCATTTTTTCTTCTTTATTACCCTTGCGATTGGTTCTTGGTGGGTTAAAGCCCAGAGGTCTGTGTTGCTGATTCACCTGGGCCAGAATACACGACAGATGACTCTTAGTCTTCTATTTATGAATGCCTGTATTTTATTTATGTATTCATTCTTCACTAGCCATGTTTCGGAGACATACAACAGGACTGAATTCACACATGTGTTGAATATTCACATATAGTATTATATATAAGAATTAACATTTTTGATTTTTAATATTTGAAAGTTGCCTTAGTTAATTATACTTGGAACCAGAGCAGTATGACTGATATAACTTCAAAATTTTACAGTAATACCATTACTCTATTTCTATATAATAATTCTGCAATTATGTATAGTTTTTAAATTTTTTATTTGAAATATTTATTTCTTTAACACTTTACGATATCAAAAGATGTTTACGAAATAATTTCAATTGCCTTAACTTGTAATTATGTGTAATTTATAGAATTCATATACATATATGTAGATATAATATACGTGCATATATGTGACACATAAGACTTTGATTACATTCATACATTTAATTGCTACATTACAGTTAATTTAACAGCCAATTTATTATACATAAGTATATAATTTTTTTTTAATCTTTTGCATAGATAGATAACGCTATGGTTACTTAAATTTCATCTTAACTTCACTATATTACCCACATTATAGTGTGCTCAGATATACATACATATATCTATATATGCATATGCGTACTCATATTAGAAATCTGAAAATATAAAAATGTATAACGATTTTAGTAATAAACTGACGAATATAGGATAACAATGATATTGAATTTCTTTCTGTCTTTTTAACACAGAACATAATATAAATTTAAAGAAAATTAAAAAAAGAATTTAATTTAATATTAAAATTAAATTTATAGTGTTAGAAAAGATAATAATAACCGTTCAATATAAAATGTACATTGTTCATTTATCAAAATTTATTCTTTGCTCAGAATAATTCGTACTTCATTCGTTTCACAATATATGTCTATTAATTTAAGAACCTCCGATTGATAGATTTTAAAACAGTTTACAGAACAGATTGCATATTATACATATTTTATGAAAAACTGCTAGTATTATGCATTAAATGTAAAATAAACAATACTGTTACGTACATTAAAATTTCAAAGTTATAATATTTACTTGAATAAATTTAAGTGAATTAAATTGTAAATATGAAAACTCTTAAACTTATAAGTTTTTCATTAATACGTACAACATTTGAACTTTTATTTTATTTTTATTAAAATTATTTGCATATTATATTCAATAAATTAAATTATTCTTTTCATTTGTAATTACATGTATTAAATTATCATTGGATACAGTATCATAAAACATTTCCAAGAAATTATTTAAAAATTTTAAAATTTCTTTAACAATAGAAAAAAAAATGCACAAAACAAAAAAAAAACAGGAACAAAAAGAAAACAATGTAAAACCTTTATAACATTTTTTATATGCACAATAATTTAAAAAAAGAAAAATAAATGCTTAAACTTTAACAAAATAAGCACAATAACATGACTCAACTACCTCATAACATCATAATACCATTGATAAAAGCAAAAAAGCAAAAAAAAAAAAAAGAGTGTCGTATTAAGCAAGAAATTATTTTTTTTATTTTTATTTTATTTTACAAAGTAAAGAAAGAAATTTAAATATGTAAAGTATAAGATCTATTTTAAGAAAAAATAAGCATAGCAATATAGCCTACAAATGCAAAACCACACAAATAGTTTTCATATAACTTTATATATAATATAATTTTATATACTATAATAAATAGCTCCTATATTCATTTTATTTTATATAAAAAGAAAGAAATTCAATAAACATCATACACCCATTTCTATTTAGTATAGTATTATTTTAGATATTGTTAATCAAAATCTTGTTAAAACTTTCAACTATGCACTTAATTTGCATTTTCTTGATGACCGGTATTTGCATAAATGATCATTTATTTCAATTCTACTTGTATAATAATATTTATGAACAAATCATAGTATGTATAGCAAAATTTAAATAAAAAATTCAATGAAATTTAGAAAAATTTTTGTGAATTTTAGAATATTTGTAAATATAAGGAGTTGGTACCTACCGAAACAAAATGCTAAATGACTTCCCCCTAGTATACTTTTCAACTATTTACTTATCTAATTAGCATATTATACATTATATTCGTAATACGACTATGGGAACTAAATAGAAATTAATCAAAATAATAATATAAAAACCAATATTTTCTAAAACAAAAAAAAAAGAAATTTAATCAAATTTATGGCAGTAATTCCAATGCGATACGCAATGCAACATAATATTTTTTTAATTTCTCCAATAACATTAACACTATTATTTCATACAAATAATATTATAATTTTCTCAAGAGTTTGAAATTATTTGATGAACAAGAAAAAAAAAAAGTAAATTGCGGTTAAAAATTTTCAATTATTTTTCATATTCAATGTTGTTCAATAATATTTTATATTATGTGAATGCATAATATTAAAGTTTTACATATTATGCAAAACTGTAAGTTCATACTTTATTACAATATCATATAAAATATTTTAAAAAAATATTTTTTCTTCAACTTTTTATCATCGCGTTCTTCACAGCAAGAAAAGAATCAAAAATAGATATGTACATAATACTAAATTTATTTTTCAATTATCTAGTTTATACTTAATAAACATAAAAATGATACTAAATATCTAACAAAATTTAGTCAATAATGCTGTTGAAGTATTCATAAGTTTTCTTCTATTAATATTATATTTAAATTTTTGTTTTTCTATGGAATTGGTGTCTTACATTTAGGTTAGCCATAAGAAATTTGAAATATTTTAATTTTGTAATATAAAAAAAAAAATTGTAAATGGAAAAACATCTAGAAATCATACTAAAATTAACACTTATAAAATGTATTACTAAGAAACTCTTCATTTTTATTCATTATATTTATTATAAATTTATTGAGCACAAATTCATATTATATGTATATTCAAAAAACAGCATTCAAATATTCTCCAATCTTTATTTAATTTTAATATAATGCTTTTATGTTTAATTAAATAAAATGTAATTTTTCTTTTATAAATACATGCATACATCATGTGTGATTCTTTGTTTTATAAATTGTCATAAAATTCTAATTTTAAAACATATATGTACATACATTATGTTGGTACTACACTAAACCATTTTGTCTTTACAATAATATACAATATTAATATTTTAAAATAAGTGTATAATATATATATATATATATATATAAATTCTTTGATATTATGGAATATTGGTCTCACAAAAAAGTTCAAAAAATTAATTTTTTCTAAGAAGATTTTGTAAAATTTTGGAATTTTTTCCTTTGACTTCGATTTTCAACCTAAAATTAAATAAAAATTATCTTATTAGTCCATTATTAATACTTAATTAAATATATTTATTAATTTTGAACTTACAGCAAGCCTATCACCAAATAACATTTTAGCTTTATCTTCTTCTTGTGGTGATTCTCTATCTCCTATTGCTAATATTGGTGGTTTTCTTTTTATTTGTAATTTTTGTTTAATTGCTTGCTTAACAATAACACTTCGACCAACAGACTTCATAGCCATTAATAAATCTAACCACGTCCAAGTAACATTATGGTATTCTAAAGTTGGAATCACTAATGAAAAATCAGTAATGTCTTCTAAATTTTTTTCTTTATTTCCCTTATAGCTAACACGAACTGGAACTTCTGGTATTTTGATATATATAAATAACTTGTTTTTTTCGGCTCTCTCTTTCATTTTTTCTACGTCATCATGAAATTTGACGTAGAATGCGGATTCTTTGGAACTTTTCTTTGGTTTGGATTTTTTACTACTACTACTGGCTATCGATCTTTGTGATGTTGATGTTGTTGATGCTGCATCATCAACATCAGCATCTGTTTCAGTTTCTGAAGCATCCCGATCAGGGAAACAAAATTTCATCATTGTATTGTAAAATTTTTTTGTTATTGCTATAGTTATCGGTGCAACATTAATTTCAAAATGCTCTTTGACAGAAATGCCACCAACGGGAGGCTTTTCTCTACAAAATACACGTAATACTCTTTTATGAGCATCAACAGGCATATCTTTTTGAATTTCAGTTGGGTATATCACCTCCCTGTAAATTTCCCTCGGTATTAAATTATTCATCCTAATATTACCTAATTCTAACAAGTGCTCAACAGAATCATCACTTTTGGACTTCTTCGTGTATAAGAAATCACTTAATACTAAATCTGCTATACCAATTTGACCATCGGTTTCAGTAAGTCTCCACTGAGCACGTTTAAAACAAATTTCATTAGCTCGAACAATTGTTACAGGTTTATCAGTTCTCACGTTAGTAATTTTACTCATTGCAGATAACTGCGTTTCCTTGTAACAAATTAATTTCATATCAAGCTCTTCTCCTTGAATATTCAGTTCTTCTTTGGAATCTCGGATCATATCCTGAATTCTTTCGAACTCTTTCAATAGCTCTTCAGTGTCGCCCTCTTCCTGTCTAGCTTTACTTACGAAATATAAATCTTTTTCATAAGCTCTTATTTTCATAGCTAAACTACGTATTTGTGTTTGTAAATGTTGAATTGGTCGTTTCTGATCTTCACTACTGTATAATTGGAGTTGAAATCTCATTCTTGCCAATTTCTCCAAAGCTTGTTTTCGTTGCGGTTCAACATAAAGCATTAAATTGTTTACTATATCTAATATCATTGCGTACTGAAGAGAATTAGTACACACATCCAAATCATGATGCATCAATGTGAATGCATCAACTGGATCATCTTGTTTTTCCCATGGACTGAGAGTCTCTTCAGAAGGTGGTGGTGGAACCTCTGTTATTGTATTAGGATCTATTGTATCACCATAGCTTACATAAAAAAATTCACATTTGCATCGCGATACAATTCTTTGCAACTGTACTGGTTGAACTTCGCCAGGTGCGACACCGGAAGATACTCCAACAGTCTCCGAAACAACTCCGCCAACACTCTGTCCGCTACCGACCAAGTGAGGAAGATCTGGTAAGTCGTTTATCACAGTTGCATCTTTATCTTTTTCTTGAATATTATCTACAGTTAACCACATGATTTTTTCATCCAAAAATGCATCACTCTCTCCAGCAGAGACTGTAGCATAATACTGCATGCATTCTAGCGAGCCTTTCCAGGTTGTTTTTGATATTAAGCTTCGATCTCTCCAAACAGGTCTATGGACGCGTTGTAAAATTTCTGCTTTCGCTGCACTTAAAATTACGTAACCTGAAGTTTCACAGCCTTTTAATAGAACTTGAGAATTAACTAATGATATACTCCAGTTTTCATGTATAACATCATTTGCATTGCAAGCTTGTAAACCTTGTAAATGTAGTTCTCTAATCTGAGTATTATCATTATCGTCACTGTAAACATTAAATTTATGATCTGCTTCAGCAATAAGTTGTTGCAACATTGCTGTTGCATGATTAGTATGTTGTGATTTTTTAATAGTGCCGGAGCTGTTAGAAGTCGTTCCAGAACTTGTTGATGGGAAAATGGACGAAACAGTTTCGGAACCAGCTGAGGTTAAAGAATTTGAACTATCATTGCGACGATTTTTCAATAAATTTGAGCCACCTTCTTTACGAAACCCTTTCAAAGCCTCTGTACCTAAATTGTTCTTTAATTTTTGATTCTTCATGAAAGAATCAAACAGAGCAAATGCTACATCACGATTACTTTTTGTCCAAGCACCTTTTAAATCATAAACTACAAGCTTATGGGTAGGTTGCGATTTACGATTGTTTCCTTCTTCACTACTTCCAGCTTGCAGATGAGTTTCGCGACCGTATGAAACTTTGTCCAAACTCAAAAAATAAAAGCGAACAATTTTACAATTATCTGATTGAGTTAAGCTTTCTGCACTGCTATCAAATTTTTCATTAAGTACGCTTTTCAACCATATTTCGGCATCATTAAGTTCGCAATTCATGTAAATTGTTGACCAATCTGCTCTAGGTCTATGCACAAGACCATCGTCTATTGGTGACAATGTTAAAATATGTTCCGAACTGAATGAAACCCTACCTCCATTTAACTGAAACCCTCTATGTAGTGCATGTGACATCCAATACAGTATTTGAAATTTATGCAAGCTCATTTGTAAATTCGCCTTTTTATAATGCCTGCTTAGTTGCTTTTTCCTTGGACGAATGTTGTTAAATACAGGACCTCTTCTAGTAGGTCGCGTAACGCCAGACAATATAAGTTTTAAACTTTCAAACCATCGCAACGTGCTACCATACAAAACAAGGCTTGGAATGTCAACGTCAATTTCATCTCCTGGAACGTTTTTGGTTTCGAAAGAAATCCAAATATTTAAATTCTGTGACCGAAAAGCTCTAAACGAGTCATGGACTTGATTACTTGAATATTCTGGTAATTTATCTGGGGCACAAGGAATTACAGCGTGATGATCGTTTGGATTAGCTAAGCAAACCCAATTCAGCTTGAAGCTCAATTTTAACTGAGGAAAATGAAGTAATCTGCAATCATCGTATCTTGATGCAGTTCTAACAGTAATATTTAACTGGCCCTTAAAAATAATTTTTGCATTTTGCCACATTATTCCTACATTATTCCAAGTTAATTCCATTTCTTCTGTTGTATTATATGGATCTAAAGACGCATGTAATAACACTGTAAATTGTTTTGCCAACATGGTAACACGTCCATGAAACATTAAACGCATCTTATCCCAAAAAGGCAACACAGGACTCGGATCTCGTGAAGGAGCTTGTATTTTTTCAAAGCTTAAGTTACATTGCGCCATAACTGGCTCCCAACAAGGACCAAAAGCGTATATGAATGAATCCACTTCACATTCAAAGTCGTGATAAAATTTCAACGCTGTCATTCCCCTTTGAATCATATCACTACCAAATGGGTGCCCAATATCTACAAGAATGTCACGACGTGCCCGTTTTGGTGCTGCCTGCTCTGCACCAACTAAATTACCCTGTAATCTCATCATTTTAACCTGGAACATTGGTTGTGGAAAATCTCTGCAATAAAAAAAAATTTTGTGATTCAAGGAACATTTTTAATTCATTCATAGAATACCTCAACATGAATTTCCATTCAGTACAACTAACATTTATATAGCGGCACCACAGAGTTACGAAATCCAACCCTTCCTCAGGCCAAGGACTGTCTGAATCTATTTCTCTCATTATTCGAATAACATTTTCCTTACCATGAATTGAAGGATCTGCCATTGCTAAAATTTCTAAATCTGTCATAATCCAGGCAAAAAGTCTTGTACGAACTGGTCCACTTTGTTTAATTTTTTTTGATCGTTGTATATAAATTTCAGAATTTTTCACCAAAAAACTTTTATAGAGGTTATCCATCGCACCAGCAGGCAGTAGTAATCGATCTGAATATTTTTCTGCAAGTTTTTTCCTAAATATTTTTTCGCGTTTCAATCCTTCTAAGTACTCATCAACTAATAAAACATAATTATCACGAAGTTTTACTTCAAACGGATCATCACTCATTTCTAAAAGAAACTCTTTAATCTGCAATAAGAAAGAAAATATTTTAAAATTTACGTCTTGCACTATAAAATTTTACTAGCCTGAATTATTAAATCGCTTGGTAAGGGAGAGTCCACGGTAAACTCCTTTTTCTTGTAATTATGAATAAGTTTCAACCATTTAAATAGCGATACAAATTCATTTTGAACAGCATCTGAGAAATCATGATCGTAAGGAAAAATTGCTTTAAATCCCTCAATAGTCCACACCCAAACTTTGTTTGATAATAAAGTTAAACATTCAGAATTTTGTCTTTCAACAGTCAACATATCCAGTCTTGGAAAAGTTTGAACATCTACATCTTTAAATGTAAATATGTGTTGGTCATCAATTTTGATGAAAACGTTCTCGATTGACACCAAAAATCTATCGTTTCTCCTAATAAATAAATTTTCGAAATACCACTGCATGGAATGCCTCTCTGACATTTTTATTTCAAATAAGGTGTTTCGCTCTGCTGATAACTCAATGGAAAGCTTTTCAGATGAATTAATTTCTTTCGGAGGTAATGTAGGCTTTTCACTAATACTGAAAAGTCCAGTCTCTATCTTAAATTCTTGAATATCCTGATACAAAGTGTATATATGCATATGTAAATTCGAGTTCCAAAATGCTTCTGTATCGTCCAAAATATATATTGAAAGTTTCGGCGAATTAGTTACCGTCGAAAACTTTTCATATTCTAAACGGATTATTTTGAAATTGCAAAAAATGTCAGTAAAATCACTAACGCTCATTGAATCTGCTGTTAACGACCTCATAATTGCCATTTGAAGTCGCTCTAATTTTATAACAGAAATTTGTTGTGTTCTTGTTATCGCCACTTCAGACAAACTGACTAATATACAAGCGTCATGATGATTTATAAAATAAACCGAGATTCCTAAAAGTATATTTATGATAAACCTTCAAAATAGTATATTAATATTATAATGAAACTACCTTCAATTCTTGTACTAACAATCATTCCAGAATTAACTTTAGAATCTGATTTTACAGGTATGGTCTCGGACGTCGGTGTACATATTTTGCTACCCCATCCATACTGCTTTATGCATTGCAATGTTTTAACTACAAATTCTGCCAAAAATATGCTATACTCAGCCCGAACATTATGAATAGAAAAATCCAATTTCATAATATTTGCATAACTACTCAATTTTATAATGCTTAAAGCTAAAAAAAATGGACTACCACGAGAATGGTTTTTTTTTAGGTTGTTTGTGTCATTGATAGAATTTCCAAGTGACCACCATAATGTTTCAAACATCAATTCCACACTCCAATGTCGGTTATTTAAAAGTAAATTAATAAAATGATTGTTATAAGTACTACTGCGCTTTTCATCATATTGTGCCAGTATCATGCGCGAATGACTCATACTTATTCCAGCATTATGGTCGTCTAGTTTTACAAGCATGGAGATATTCCATAGCTCTGCACAAGCCTTAACGACAATCCTCTTTAACATCCATTCAAGTAATTTAGAACCACCTCCATTTGAGATTTTTTGATTTGATTTAGTTATTGTTTCAATATCTTCGAATTTTTTTTTCGAAAGAGAAAGTGGTTGACTTGGTGTTGACTTTTTGCGTGAAAGAAAATTATTATTCACCCAACCATAAATTTCACTGTGATTGTAAATTATTTGAAAAGTGCGTAATAAGAAAAAGATGTTTAAAATTTCGTTTTCCAGCTAAAATTATAAAACTTATAAGTAAATATGAAAATGTTTGAGAAAATATTGTTATATGCTTATACCTTAGCTTCTGTTGTGAATTCTTCAATAAATAAAAGTTTTTCATATTTTGTATCGATGTCTAGATGTTGAAGTGCTAAGTTAGCATACAAATTAGGTAAATGGATATTTTCAGGTAGAGAATTTGGTTTAAATTTTCCAGAAATCTGAAACAACAAATTTCATAAATATTTAATCCATATAAAACTTATAATCCTACCGTAAATAATTGCATTTTTGCGTTAAAATCATTTTGAGTATTTTCTTTCACAGCGGTTACGGTTGCAGCTTTTATTGCCACCCCAAAATTTCTTGGAATTATTGGTGCTAATTTATGATATGCATCATTACTATAACTTCTTGTTTTAGCAAATATTTGAGATTTCTGTTGCTGAACAGTAGATAACTTATTTTGCAGTTTAGCTTCACTTAAAAATTCATACATTCCTCCATATATGGTCGTCTTGGCGTTATTCAACGATAATTGCAATTTCTAAAAAGAAAAACACTTTTAAAAGTTATCACTTAAAAAAATTCCATTACCTCAACGGAAAGAGGTCCTTGAGCTATCAAAGTAGCATCTAAAGCTACATCGAAACTAATTTCAGCCAAACATGGTCTTAACTTATTCAAATTTTCTAATGACGATTGGCGACGATTTGGAGAATGAAGAAGCATTTTAGCCTAAAGGAAAAAGAGAAAAGCAAATTATTCTTTATTAAAATTTTAATTGATTATTTAATGACTAATAGAATTACCTGCGCATCAGTTAAAGATGAATTTACTAATAAAGTTTTGTCATTTTGTACTATACTGCCATCTAAATGAAGCTCTTTAGCAGTGGCATGAATAAACCAACTAGGGTCACAGTCATTATTTATTAATACAACCGATACATTATATACATGAACAGCCATAAACTTAAAACAAAATACATCAAATTATCATACATACTTCAAAATATACACATATATAATTATTTATGTACATATATATAGAAGTTAAAGTTCATACCTGAGCAAATGTTACAATACTTGGTGGTATTTTTGCTTTCCTGAAATCCGGCACCCCAGAACTAAGTTTTCTATCCGTTTCACTGAAATCCGGTAAATCATCATTAAACTTCCCCCCTGCGTCTATATCTTTATTTATACGAATATCCCGTAAATTAATTGATAGTAATTTGGTTACTTCTGAATTCAAAAAGCTGCTACTAATTGATATTTCTTCAATTTGCTATTGAATCAAAAATTAATTCAAGGTCAAGTTTGCGTTACTTTATATTATATTATGTTATATTTAATTATATGTATATATGATATGGTAGCAAGTATACATACCACAGAAAATCCATTTTTGTAAATGTTAACCTTTTTAAACGACAAGGGTAGGCTCATTCGACCAGCACGAACATTTATTTTAAATTTACGATTAAACCACCAACTTATTACTAAAGGAAAGGCCCTTGAATTAAAAAATATATATATTATTTAGGTATGATGTCATTTTATTGTTTTTTCAATTGAAATAAATTAATTATATAGAAACTAATTGATTAAATATTTACCAGGTAATACTTCCATAAAAAATTAAAACTACAACTATTAAAACAACTAGAAAACTCATAATTGTATTTATAAAAAATATTTTTTGCACTATATAATTAGAAGAATATTCACATCTTTAAAATTTTTTATTTTAATTGATAAATAATTAATTTCTTTATAGAGACCGTGATTTATTGATAAACAGTCCAACACATTTATAAATTCTGAACAGCTGTTTCAAATTTTTTTTGACGTTCACAAAATTTCGCTTTAGGTTTTCTACAGAGGTGTATAACCGATTTAAATTTTGGCACTTACATATATTCTGTGAAATAGGTTTACCATTCTAAAGTTGAAAACAGGACAAGAACGACTTTTCGCGAAGAAATATCAGAATTCCTATAGAATACAAATATTTAAAGGGGACTGCGAAAGAATCAAGTTAAACTACCTCCACGAATTTAAGCGCCTGTGGTGAAATAGTTTGAAATCCTATCACGATTCCTATTAAAATTCTCCTACTGTAGTTAACATACTGTAGGTGTGTACAAATGAAGATCTAAGAATGTTACACATGTTATTAAGTTTACATTTTGGATGAATTTTAAGTAGCCCATTCATCAAAGAGCCATATCGTTTTCATTCAGTTTAAAGTCGAATTGGGAGCAATATTCGATGTTATGTATCGAAAAATACTAAATCGATTTTTTGTATAAAAACTTACATGACAGTCCATTTTCAATAATTGTTGTGTGTATACATGCAAATATCAAAAATTGATTTACAAAAAAATAAAAATGCAGAAAATGGATCTACTGAAAAATCCAGATTTAGCGAAAAATCGGATTTTTGTCGGAAATTTACCATCTTGCACACGGGAGGAACTTTGTAGTATTTGTGTTCCGTGAGTATTTATACAAAATTACCTAAAAAATTTAATAACTTTTACTATACTTAGATATGGAAAGCCAATCGCTTCAATGGTTAAAGACAAATTCGGTTTTATTCAATTTGAGGATGAAGCTACAGCTAACAAAGCTGCAGCAGCACTTAATCATTCTTCATTCAAAGGACATAAAATTACTGTAAGGAATGCTGATAATAAGAAACAACAAAATAAAAATTTGAATAAAGGACCGGCAAATCAAACTTCAGGAAACACAATGCAAAATGCTCCTACACCTGATAAATACTATTTATTGCAAGAACAATATCATGCAACCGTAAATGTTGATTACAATGACTGTGAGATTATTGTTTTAAATAAGGAAATAACGTAAATACAAGTTTTTTTTCATTAAACATCAATAATTATGAAATTAAATTTTTAGTGATTATGCGGAGCACATAGAACAAAGACTGAAAAGAATGTATTTAAGGGTGGATATTTTATATCCAAATCCTGAAGTACCAATTGGAAAAGTTTTAGCAAATATCTCATCACGTGGATGCTTATATGCTATTGTTGTCACTGAACAAAATGTAGAACATAAGAGCATAACTGTAAATATTTTATATGGACAAGCAGCTGAACATCGAAATATGCCAATTGATGATGCAATAAATTTAATTCATTCAGATTTCAGTGAAAAATTATCTCGCGAAATTAAATTAATTCCATCTATTATGAAACCAACAATGTCATTTATGGCTCCAGCAAAAATAGTCGCCCCACCACTTAAAGAGCCTCATCCAGAATCAATGCAAACATTGTTAAATCTCTTAGCTGATAATTTACCCTTAACAGTTTTACAATATGACAGAGTTATTAAATACTTACAGGAAAGGAGAGAGCTTCAAGTAAAAACTGAAATGGGCGAACACGTAGATGCGTCGATGACAACAAATTTAAAAGCCACTGCGGAACCAGATCCGGAAATTGAATTGCAAAAGAAAATTTTAAATATATTAAATAAACCGTCTGTAACGGACAAACATGCATCAACACTTTTGTACCCAACAGTAGACTCTTTGTTGCAACATTCAGATACAATCGAATTATTAAAAGATGAAAAAGTTCAAAAAGCATTAGATTCATTAATGATAACTAGTTTAGTGGAAACAATCCAAAATCATTTCGAGTTTTAATAAAGAATTAATTAATAAAGCGCTTTTCCTTTTATTAAAACAAGCTTGTAAGTGAGTTAAATAAGAAAGCAGACAAAAAAATTAAGTTTAGAATAGTCGACATACCATGAGTAAATTTATTTCATTTTTAACCTATCTACAATTATAAAATATATTAGCAAAAATCCCGATATTACATTGTTATTGAATCAGCCAAGAATGCATGAATCCATTTAATCCATCGAATAACACTTTTTTGCTTTAAAAACTTTTCAGATCAATAATAATTTAAATATTTCAACTACGTGGAACACATTTGCATTCATTTTGTTATTTAATCTTCCCTATATCAAATAAAAAGCATTCTATTTACTTTTTTCATGTATTTGATACGAAACACTAATTTTAACTATAATTTCAATTTTAAATATATATTTTTGTTTTCCAATAAAATTTCTTAATTTTGCATTTTTATGTTATCATATAGTTCAATATGAAATAGTTTATTTCTGAAAATATTAACTTAATAATTGTCACTATCATTATCGTATGACGCGTCAAGCTCATGTTGTGCTTGCGTTGAATCATCACTGCGTTCTGAAACCGGTTCAATTTCTAATTCTTCTTCAATATGCATTAATCCAGTTGCTATACTAATGCTAGCACCAAAGTTTGCTTCGTTCGTAATATCGGCATTATTGGTTGTAACAGGATTGCTGTTATTACTACTGCCGATATTAGTTTCATTATTACTACGTGGATTATGATTTATAGAATCAAACGCATCTTTAAGCTGATTGTTTGCTCCTTTTGGATCCAAATCCGTAGCCCAGCTAAAATGCATCAATGCTTTATCAACATTTCCAAGAGTTTTATGAATTTTGCCAATTAAATAGAATACAACTGACTCTTTTGGCACGATTTGCTTTAATTCTTCTAATTCCTTAAGAGCTTCTTGATGTTTACCTAGTTGATAATATATTGAACCACGATGAAACTTGCACAGAGGATTTTTAGGGTCAACAGTAGCCGCTGTGTTCAGAGTTGCTAAAGCTTGTTCAGTTTTGTGCATGAAAAATTGCATTGCACCTATGTGAACAATAATAATAGAATTTTTTGGATTAATTTTTAAAGCGTGTCTATAATGTAATTCTGCTAATTCATAACGTTCTTGTTTTGAATAAATGGTTCCAATACCAAACCAAGCATTGTAATGTCGGGAATCTTTTGTAATTGCTGTTCTAAAGTAATTCATAGCTTTTTCTAATTCTTCAGTAATAATTAATTCATGTCCAAGCAAGGTATAACTGAAAATTAGATAAGTTTTAGTTAAATTTTTGCTAATTTTAATAAATTTTTTTTATACCTATAAACAAAATTAGGATCAACTTGTACTGCACGTTTAAAGAACTTTATTGCGGTTTCATGTTCCTTGTGTAATGAAAAACAATTTCCAGAAACACACCACGTTACAGGAGAATTCTTATCAACTGCCATTAGATCTTGCGCCAAAGCGCTAAGTGCTACATCTTTTTGAAGGTGCCATAAAACGGTACTATATATTTCCATATATTGTAAACGGTATGGTTCTTTTTCATGTATACTCTTAAAAACTTCAACAGCATTTTCATATTTACGTTGTTCGTAGTATGCTAATGCTATTTGACTTTGTACCCAGCTAGATTGATGATGTCGTTTTGGAATTTCATTGAAATTAGTAACAGCTTCCGTACAATTATACTGAGATAATTGTAAATAACTTTGTCCTATATCCCGAAGTAATGCCATCAATCCTTCTACACTTTGCTTTTTTAAATTAACAACATGCTGTGCCATTGTTTGAGCTGAGTTTAATGTATTATTTAACAAAACTTTTGAATCTACGTCGGTAGCTGAAGTTATAGTTTCAATTTTTTCGTTTACTTGTGTTGTTTGATTTTTATCTTTTTTCATGTTTGTAACAGTTGAATCTTTTTCGTTAATAAGTTCTGTAATTTTTGTTAAACGTGATTTAGTTTTCCGTGGCGGTGAACGCGGCTGAACAAATTTACTATTAATATTTGGCGATTTACTACTATTTTCCTTAACAGAATAATTATTATTACTAAATAATCGAGATGATCTTCTCACGTTTTGACTTGAGTTATTATTGGGCGTACGTGATGTTATATTTCCAGTTTGAGTAAAAACAGTTGGCTTAGTATTTGGAATAGGCGAATCCTTGCGTACTAATATACCACCTACATGTCCTTTTAATTTTTTACCTACGGGTTTTTGTTCTTGATTCATTTCTACCAATGTTTGAGGAGATTGAATATTGTTGTTTATATTGTTAATATTACTTATATTATTGTTACTGTTATTAATTGGTGTAGTCAGATTACTACCTACATTGCTACCACCAAAATAATTACTACCACTAATAGGAGTGTCAACTGGACTAATTGGCAATATTCCAAAACTTGGACTTCCTGGTGTACGCATTGATAAATATTTAAACTGTTTGCGTATTATTGGTGTGCAATTATCAGCATTAACTGTTTCTACTGGTGACGAGGAAAATAACGTATCATCTATAGAGTGCATTGGACCGATACTGATATTATTAATGTTACAAAGTCCTCCACCTATATTTCGTATATTTGTTGGTGGATTAATCGGTGTCTGTAAATTATTGTCTCCAGGAGTAGACAAAATATAATTATTACTACTTGTATTATTGATTATATCACCGGAGCTGTTAATTGTTGTCGATGTATTATTTAAAGGCATATTATTATTTACACCAACAGCAGATGTTATTAGACAAGCGTCTAACATAATAACTGAATTTGCTCCGTTATTACCAAACAAGATCATTGGGTTTGTATTGGTGTTTCCTAAAATAAAACAAAAAATCATATTTTATTTTTATATTATTTTAGAAAAAAATTTTATTACAAAAATTAAATATTACCTTGGCATGTGTTAAATATATCCGCGCTGGAAAATTGAAATATCGAATTTGGATCAACCTTTTCACCCATATTACATAAATCTGCAAATGAATGCCATAAGAAGGGATTTAATTTTAAAGCCATTTTATTTGCTTCAATAGCAATTCTTTTTCTCTCTGTTTGTAAACATATATTGGCGATCAGTTGTAAAACAAAACATGCTATTTCCCCAAATTCTTTTCCAATTTCTTCAAAATTTTTTATTTCATTGAAATTAATAGAAGAAATCGCAGCTTCAGCTTCAACTAATTTTTTTAACTGATAGGCACATTTTGCTAGTAAATATCTACATTGTGGGGAATAAGATGATTTTGTTTTTAATAACCAGTATGCTTGATGAATATTATTTGAACGAAAATAACATGTGGCTAATATAAAGATTGTTTCATCCGTTTCGACTAAAACGAAATTATAGAATATATTCAATTATCATAACATATATATTTAAAATAGAAAAATTAAAGAAATTTTGGTTTAAATATTATTATCTAAAATATTTTTAAAAAAGGTTTTATATTTTTTAGATAAGAAAAATAAAAGTGTGAAAATAAATGAATTAACAAGAAAAATTTTCATACAAAAATATTTATATATGACAAAAGAAAACATACAATTCTTAATGACTTTTCAAAGAAAATTGGAATGTAAAATCAACTGAGAACAGTAGCTCTAACGCAAAACAGGAATAAATATTAGTTAAATTTTTCTACTTACTCTCAGCACAAAGTCTTTCGGCAAGAAAAGTTGCATCTTTATAATTATAATGGTTTAAACAATGCCAAATGGCTGCCTAAAAGAAAAATATTTCAAATTAATTTCATTTTCACCCCTCCCTGTGAAAAATCGTTAAAAATTTTCTGATTGCTCCATTTAAAAAAATCAATCGAAATTTTTTACTTACCTGTACTGGTTCCTGTATTATCATTATTATAAATTTTAATTATATTTAAATAGTTTTTTTAAACTTGAAAATTCCAATTTTCAATAGAAAAAATTTCTATGGGTTCTCGATTTTCACTTTTACGAACATTACAAAATTCATGAAGCAAACATATGTCGCCTTGCTAATTACAAATTAAAAAAAATGTTTAATTTCTTTGGCAATAAACTGCAAAATTTTTCTTAAATAATTTATATGATTTTTATAATAGTAAATTTATGTACAAATTAAAAAAAAATTATGCCTTCTGAAAATATTGCAGGACGCTCTTGCCATTTCAATTTACTTTTTGTCGTTTATCAAAAAAATTGACATTTCAAAATGTCATTAAATGTCTGTTTGATTAACCAAAAGTCGATAGTAATTTATGTAGTTCGATTTTTTTTAAAATCGATTGTTTTCAGTTGATGAGTCGTCAAGTGTACAGGAAATCTGTCACTGCTAGAACACCTCAGTATTGATACAAATCTGAATCTTGAAAATTCGAACATAGAAATTGATGTAAACATAGAATTTTGACGTTTTAACACGAGATATTGAAAATTGAAGTGCAAACTGAATTTGTGCATATGTTAATAATTTTTTGTTACCGGTTTGTAAAACATAAAATAAATTGGTACCTAATATTCCTGGATTAACTATGGATAATGAAGAAAATGAATTGGATACAACATTCGAAAATGAGGCAAAATTTGAAGATTCAAGTAATAATATAACAGATGGTGAAAATTTTAAAAAGAGACGAACGAATGTTGGACCTTGGAAAAATGTGTAAGTTTAAAATAAATTCTCTGAAGTTTTAGAAAATAAAATGAAAGTTCAAATTTAGTGAAGAATTCAACATGGTTTATATTTCATTATTTGGACAAGGAGCATCATATGAAACAAAAATTAAAGCATGCAAGAAAATGAGGATTTGGAAGTTGAGATCTCTTAATATGACTCCTGCATCTATTTTAAGCACACTAGCCATTATAGAAGTTCAAATAAAGGATGAATCGAAAGATTTCGCAAACGAACTTCAAGTTTTATATTCTGGAGCATTTACCAGATTTCTGAACTACATGTGTTCTACTACACAAAAAGGCAAAATGAAAACAATGTATCAAAGCGCTATGGATATTGGGATAGATCCGTTTATAGTAGATTTGCGACATTTGTGTTCTCATGGACAATCTATGCCGTCACTTAATGTTTTAAGAAGAGCTTCAGATTATTGTCTTGATTGGTTAAAAGAATTTTATTGGGATCAAGAATATAAAAATCAAAGAAATGTTGGTTCTAAAAATGTTCGTTCTGAAGATATAACATTGTTTGATGACAAAGTAAGTGAATTATTTGAAGTGTACGATTCATCATTATTAGCAATTCAGAATGGATGCATTAAAGTCAATGAAGCACGAAAATTTTTGAGCAATGAACACTATAATACACTAAAAAAATTTTCTAATATTAACGGAAAAATTCAGCTAGAACATATACAGGTTCATGTAATAAAAATTATGGAAAACTTAATACGACAAGAATCAAGTGTAAAAAATTTAGCATCTGTCTTTATAACGGCATTTACTAAAATGACTTTCATATTTGAAATTCCTGGTAATTTTCATCATTAAATTTAAATACATTAAACGCAATATTTTCTTTTAATTCAGCCAATCTAGTTGACTCTGAAAAAAACTTGAGAAATTTAGTTAGAAAAAATAGGAAATTATTTAGATCTATTGCAATGCATGGTTTTATTGAAAGATTATTTGATGAACTAATATATATAGCAGAAAATAGCTTTGAAACATCTTCCAAAAGACGTGGCGCAAGCTTTTGGGCGAATGAAATCGTAGTAGGATTCTCTGCCTTCGAAAAGTTCAAAGTCTATTGTAAAACACGAAAGGAAAAGGTATAAGAGATATAAGTCAAATATATCGTAAATTTGATGATAATATAAAAATTTTATTTTAGGACTCTGATTTTCATATAGAGAAAAAACATATTAATGATCATAAAATTTTGTCTAAAGAAATCAAAAGAATATATTCCATTCTAGATATCGATGCAAGTTCAATTATTATTTTTGGAGACCATTACAAAAGACCTTGGTGTCTTAGTTTTTCTAAAAACTACATAGAAGAAAGACTAAAAAATGTTACGGAATACACAAAGACTGTCATAAAAAAGTAACTAAAAAAGCTCTTTTTTATTTTGAACTAACACTAAATGAAATTTTCAGTTGTCTTTCACTGGTTCAACCTCCGCTTTCATATTATGAAGAATCCAAATTAGTGGAACTTATCAATATATATTGTGGCTCTCCTGAAAATGAAGACGAAAATCCAAATAAAAACCATCAAATATCAAATGAATTACAAGAAAAAAAATATTTCACTCAAAATGATCTTAATTGCGATATTTCCAATTTTGAAACGAAAGAAGAAAATCACACAGGAATTTGGTTTACAGGAACTGGTAAAACTAATTTTCAATTTCCTAATAATAATTTTAATAATAATCTAAAGAATAATTTTTTAGATGAATTAGATTGGCATTTATGTCCTCTAGGCCGTCTCCCTTGGGAATAAATTTTATTACTATTTTATAAAAATAATTCAGAAAAGTACAATTTTGTATAAGTTATAAAACAATTTTATTTATATAAATGTATAAAAAATATTTTGACTTGCAATTTCAATATATAACTTTAATACATATAGGTACTTTTAAACAAAATGTTGTAAAAATAAACTGAAAAAAAGAAACGAAAATGTTACATCTGTAACTCTCATAAATCTTGCATTGCTAAAAGAATATTTTCCAAAGCTGTTCTTGCATCAGATGGAGGGAATTTTTCTAAAACTTTCATTGCCGCATTTGTGTGTTTCTTTTGTAGTTGTTTTGTTTTTTGGACACCAGGGCCTCTAATTATTATACTATGAATCTTTTCATAATCAACTTTATCAACACATTTTTTGCCTTTTTCAATTTCGTCGTACAAAGATTGATCCTCTTCCAAGTGAAAAAGTATTGGTGCACTTACTAGACTAAAGGTAGTATCTGAAAATATAATTCCATTAATGTTTACAATTTTTAATACATACTTTTACAACTTTACCAAGAGGAAGAGTACTCTGTTGAAATGGTTCAGCATCTAAGCAGGCCTGCCAAGCTAATGAAAGGTGTTTACCAAATAAAAACGCATGTTTTTGGGAGCTTTCTGGTAAGCCAGCTAATTTCAAAGCACCTTGACAACTTTTTCCCAATAAACTACCTGCATTCAATATGTGCCTAAGTGCCCATTCCTTTTCGGGAATACCCATTGCACTCTTAACATCTAAAGGAATTAGGCAATCAGTTTCTACAATATCTTTTGAAATATCATAATCCATATTAATTTCAGAAAGTTTCTCTTTCTTTTCTGGTTTAGACGGTAATGGATTGTTTTGACCATCTCTTTCTCCGATAAACTCAGCTTCGGTAAAATCTCGAACAGCTGATGAAATCAATTCGACTAATTCTTGATTACGAAGCCTTGCAAGTTCTGCACATGAATGTGCTAATAGATAATCACCACCTAGTAAAGCAATTTTGTTTCCAAATGTCATATCTTCTAGAGTAGGTAAATCTTGAGAAAGTTCGCCACTTTTGTGCAGATTAACTAAACTCTGTTAAATTTAGGTAGCACGTTATTTAAAATTTAAAAATAAAAACCATAACTTACATTATGTACTAAATGTGAAATTCTAACCATTTCAGTAACTTCAGCTAAAGCTCGTTGAGAGTGAAGAACTCCAGCACTTTTGTCTTGCTCCATATCTGGAATTGATGGTGCATGACCAGCTGCTTTTGATATTAATAAAACAATTAATCCCCATGCTTGCATTGTATTTTTTCCATTGTAAAGTAAATACCTATAAATATTCGTTATTGAAACAGGTATATGTTAATTAAAACTATGTGATACTGATATGTGATTTAATTACAAATAAGAATAATTACTTGGCAGTTTTGAGTAACGGATGGTTACTTCCAACTAATTTTCTTAGATGCAATGCAACATTAGCTATTTCATCACTGAGGAGCCATCTCAAACTTAAAAATGATGTTGGATAACCAACTATTCTTTCAGCTTCACTAACTGCGCGATTCCAATCATGCTTTGGAACTGGAGCCTGTAATTAAAATATATTTAGTTTTAATATAGTGTTATTTAAAAATTATTTATCTTGCCCTCTTTGTTGCATTGAAAGAATTCGTGGAAGAGAAGTATCTACTTATTAAAATATTTCCTTGCGCGTTGCAAACAAGTGGGACGAATCTATTCGATAAATTTGAGTATCTAATGTAGTTCCTCGATGAAATTATGATTTTAGAAATCATTTTTTTTTTCTATCTCAAGAAAATATTTTTTGCGTTTTTAAAAAAAAAAAACTATCAAAGTGAAATCGTGAAATTGTATTTGACTGACACACCAAATTAATTCATTTATTTTTTCTTTCTTTCTTTTTTAATGTCAATATGTAAAAGGTATGTAATAGTTAAGAAATATTTAAATTTAAAAAATTTGGTGGGAGATTCGAAATATTACATGAAGTGAAAATCGTATTTTTAATTTACCCCACCTTTATCATACAAAGCAGGTTTAATTGTAATCAAAAACCATTGTCAGTGCTTAAATTACCTGTGTAAATATTTTTTCTCTTTTTTTTGTAACTTCTGTTTACCAATTAACAACAAATGATTCCTGCAATGTAAATAATAACAAAACTGACATTTGTCATATTTGCATGAATCAATATTGCCGTTTTACAATAAACTATTTTTTTACATTATTATATATCATTCACAATAGTTTTTGTAAAATTCTGATTAGAAAAAAAATCTTATGGGAGTTGAAATTTATATTCTTAACAAGTGGGTATTTTTTTTTAAGCATTTAATCTCAATTATTAATAAATTGAGAACTTTTAATGTATGAAAATATATTTCTTATTAATCTTCTATACATTTAAATTCATTATTGCATATTTATATTATTTATAAATTTTAACTATTGATTAAATTCTTTAAAATATAAATTTCAATAAGTTTTCAATTTAAAAAACTTAATTATTAAGAAAAATAAAATTTTTATTTATTCTTTATTTTTATTATTATTTATTAGTGTCATAGAAACTTTTAAGCTAAGAAATTTTTGAATATGGAATGAAGGATGATCTTTAAACTGTATTTTAAATATCCCTATTCTGATTTCGTTATTTAAGATTATTTGCAATATACATATAAATATTTGTACAACTTTATGCATTAAAAATGAGTAGTAGAAAATCTCCTCTATTTCATAAATTACAATATTCCGCTACACGTATCAAATGTGCTTCTATACTTTTAAATAACCTATCATTATATAATATGCGTCTTTCTATCACAATTGATTATAATTGTCGTTGCCTAGTTTTGCAATATTTGCAGTCTGTCAAGTTTAGTATTGAGAATAACATTGAATATGTTAAATAATAAAATAAATAAATTTTACGCAAATTTAACTTCTTTTTTATATTAATAAATTGGTAACCTTTAAAACTTTTCCAATTCATTGTAATTCTTATTGTCAAAATCTCATACAAATAAATAAAACGGCAAGTCAGTCAGTTGATTTTTACCTGCCCGACAAATATGAAGAAGTTTTCGCGATCGTGATAAAATTGTATTTTTTTTCGTTTCGTTTTCTTTTTTTTTTATTTCTGTTTATTGTATAATATTTATTTAAAAAAAAAAATATATATATATATATATATTACAACAAAATTCATTTATATTATTATTAATTAAAATATTTTTAAAAAATAACTATACACGTTACATACATAAATATATATAAAAAAAATGAAATATTGAAACAAGAAAAAAAAAAGATTTTTTTTTAAAGTTTATTCATGCACACATTTGATAAAAAAAATATAAATATATATATACATACATATATACCTGCATATATCTACCTATAAAATTATAATAATGGGGATATATATGTGTTGAAACAAGTAGGTAATAAAATATATACATATGTGCTTAAAAAAAGTGCTACATATTACATTATAATTTTTTTCGGTTTTATCTCATTTTTAATATAAAAAACTATTGGGTACTTATTCATTTGATTGAGACTTTTTCTTAAAATTAATAACTACCTGCATAATATATAAATGTGCCTGCCTACTATATAAGAAAAATAACAGCAGAAACCCACCTGTCAACTTTCTATAGTAGAGTAATATCAACTCTCTGACAACCACAGAAGAATAACCAACCATACAAAAAAACTCATTTCATACATTTTTCATTTCTTATTTTTCTTATTTTTTTTTTACCTAGCTGGCTGTTACAAAAAAAAAATGTTGAATGAAAAATAATAAAATACCTATACGTATGTACATTATTATATACAAATATATTTACATGCATATATAAAATATAAAAAGTGCAAAATCAAAAACAAGTTTTTTTTCCATTTTTTTTTTAAACGTAATGGGTATTTGGCCTCCTCTTGTCTTCTTGTAGCCGTAGAATGTAAGCCTTTTTATTAACTTCTTTGAAATATATTTGGTTATGTTTGCTATTGCTATTAAAAAAAATTACCGTTATAAGGCAGAGATATGGATAAATAATCAGTCTATTTAATTTTTTTTTTGTGTTTTTTTTTTTGTTTCGTTGTTTGTTTTTAATTGCAAATAGTCTTATATAAAAGTTATGTTATATATTATGCATGTATGTAGGTACATTGTACATAATACTGTAATGTAATGTACTGCATGTTATAATAAAAATAATAGTTTGTATAATAGGTATTTTATATTGAAATTATAAAGTTAGAACTGCCAGTTTGGCTAGTATTTTTTTATGTACATATTTATTAAAAAAAAAATGATTTATAAACCGGAAAAAAAATAAATCATATTAAGTATGTATGTATGTAGATACATACAGGTATGTATGGATATAATTGGGGTAGTTAGGTAGGTACCTAAATACACACTTGCCTGCAGTTAAAATATAAACTAGAAAGCTCGTTATTCAAAAAAAAAAAAAAAAAACAGAAAATGAGAAAAAACAGAATTGCAAAATAAAATCAAGTTGTACAAGATTTGGTAATAAGTTTCTAATATTTTTTCTTTTCGGGTTTTTTTTTTTTTTGTTTGTTTTTGCTTTTTATTTTTGTTTCTTTAAATATTTATGATTATGATATTATGATGTGATATTAAAGAAGTTCCAGTCTAATTGATTTCTACTGAAGTATTTAAAATATAACTAGCGTACGTAACGTACATACATGCCTACCGAGGACATATAAAATTATATTCCAAATACATATGAATTATTAATTTAGAAAAAAGCTAGTATGGACTTCTTCAATTTGTGCAATTCTAATATAAATCTTAATATACATGTATTAAGCATGTCCGATAAATCAAAATTACAAAATCTTTAAATTTATGTTCGATAAATCTTTATTTACTATAAAAGAAACACATTTAAAAATTATGGAATATGTACATATTTTCATAGCATAATACCTACGAAATTATTTTAAGTTTGAAAAAAAAAATCCAATTAATGGAAAAATATCTTATACATTAAAAATTTGAAAATTAGTTGCTGTAATAATGCAAAATAGGATTTTTTAAGATTTGTATAGAACTATAACTGAATTATCGAAAATTTTACCTTATTGATTTATTGAATTTTTAACATTAAAATTAATTAAATAAATTCTTACTACAAAAATAAACCAAAATAAATTAATAAACTAGAGTAAGAATTCACTTAAATAGAACATATATCTAATTATCTACAAAATATCCTATTAATTATTTTACTAAAATATATAGCTATGCTTTTACTACCTACCCAATTTAGTTACCGATAAAATACTTAATATTATAAATATAAAAGCATTACGTTATTAATTTCCAATGAAATGAAATGATGTTATAATAGATTTAATTGTATACACAATAAATATTTAGAATTTTCAATTCTAATAGGTTGTTTGGTGTAGTTATGGTACTATTTTTTTTAGTAAAACAATTCCAAAACAATTCAAAAAATTCGCTGAATTGAATAAATTCATAAAAACAAAAAAAAAAAAAGCAACGAAGGCACATTCTTTTTGTAATTTTATTTTAATCCTTTTAAGCATTTCGTTTTTCTTTTAATTTTCTTATTTATCTTTACATAAAAAATGTATCATTAAATATCTCTCTATCTAGATACACCTATATACGTACTACTTACCCACCAGTTTTAAAATTTTTTTATTTCTTATCTGACCAACAATTTGTAAATAATCCGTAAATGAATTAATTGTAAAACGTGCAAAAATTGCTAGTAAAAAAACAAACTAAAAAAAAATTATTAAATTAAAAATTTTAAGGAAATTTGTAATTTACATAATTCTATTTTACTATTAAGTATTATGATTTAATAATTTGATTATTTTAATATTAAATTTATCATAATTAATTAATATTAATTATGATAAAGTGTTTTTTGTATGGAAATAATCGATTCATACCTACAACCTACTATATTAAATAATATTACATAAAATATTTATTATTACGTTTTTCATGTTATTAAATGTATCTAGGAGTAATAAGTTTTCTAAATGAACAGAAAAAAGCTGAAATAAAAAATAAAATGATAAAAAAATTAGATAAACTCGGTTATGTATAAGTAATTGAGTTGTCAATAGCAAAATTTTTGGTTTTTATTCACATATTTTTTCTCTATATTTCTTGTTATCTATAATTAAAATTATGTTTTATGTACGTACACAATAATACTAAAAAAAATTTGTTATATTAATTACGAACTTAAATATATTTTCAATGAAAATAGTTAAGGAGGTAACATAAAACAGGCACAGATTAATTGTAAATGTAAATTGTTAATAGTTTTTAATTTAAATTTGAGTAACCGAGCTATCTAAGGTGCAAAATACCCACCTATACATGCATCAATGTGTTAAATTACAATAAATTATTATTAGAATTAACTAGACTACTTGGATGCTTGATTTTGAAAGTGACTGATGTCCATTTGCAGTTTCAAAACTTTTTTTTTTCTTCTAAAAGCTGTGATAATGTGAATAGTTGGAATCGGAACTTATGTTACTGGATAGAAAAATAAATATGCTATCAATCGAATTTTTGGTTATTTTAAACCCAAATATGCTATTAAACTTGAAATGGACTTAGGTTATTTTTAAAATAATCAGTCAATCTAATGTAGTTTATGAAATTTTTACAAAATTAATTATTTAGATTCTTTTAAGTTATTTGGTTGCTTAAATTGACAAAATGTTATGTGTGCAAAGAATAATTTTTCATATTTCAAAAATCTTTTATTATAAATTAAATACACATAACTTATTTAATAAAATTTATTTAAGTATAATTTTTAATAATATTTATGTATTTATTTCATTCATAATTTTTCTTTATATTTTTTTCATTTTATGTACATATTTAACAACACTCCGTTTATTATACTCTTGGAATTTATTATTCATCAACAATTTGAACAGATGACTTTCAATGGAAATTGTTTAATAATATATTAAAAACAAATAATATTTAAAATTTTGGTTTATTATACAATTGTTTTTCTTATAACTTAATCTTATGATTTTGATGTTAAAGCAAGATGGTAATGGAAATTAAAGATACAAATTAAATACATAATTTTTTATCATCCATCATACATAATTAGAATAATTGGAAGATCTTCAAGAAATAAGACAAAAAGAAATAGGATTGTTAAATTAATCTATAAGGAAATAAGAAGAAGAAGCAAGAAAAGAAAAAAATTCCATTGTTGTGGACAAGAAAGTAGAAAAAGAAAAACAAAGAGAAAAAAAATGCATGAACTATTTACAAAAGTTTTATCTAAAAGAGATCTGTCTAGAGCTGGTGAATTATTTTCAATACCAGATGGTGATATTGTTAATGACATTAATAGTGTGGTAATTTTAATTTTTCTTTATGTATATTTTAAAAATATAATTTTAAGTGCATATAGATTTTTTTTTAGTTTTAATTATTTCATTATTTTTCGTTTTTCATTTATTTTTAGTTAAGCGAAATTGAACTGATAATATTACAGCCAGATTATTTGCAAAATACAAATGATCAATCGGTTGTAGAAATATGTATATCAAGAGTTTTATCATGTATTCGAGAAACGAATACGGTAGAGAGGTAAGGATATTGCAACACAACAAAAGCAAAATAAAAAAAAATATATAAATTTTTTATTCTTATTATAGATTTTGTTCATCTCTCGAAGATATATTAGAAATATGTCTACATTATAATTTAAAACCTACTGGATCTAGTAAAGAAGATCCACCACATGCTAAGATAGCAGCTGATATTACATCTACTATACTATTGGTAATTATATATTCATATTCATTGAAAAAAAAAAACATTATATACTTTTTCATTTTAAAGTAATTGATAAAATTAAAAATAAAATTTATTTAAAGGATTACAAAATTAATTATAGACAAAACAAAGATAAAAAAGATGTGATGAAAATATTTTTACCAATTGCTGTTAAATTTCTTCCAAAAGGCAATAAAGAATTATCAAAAAATTTAGCTATTTATTTATCATTGGCTGCTATAGAATATTCACATTTATTAAGCCCTCAAGTTGGTTTAATTATGGATTCAATTCTTGCAGGTATTTTAAATTTAATAACTCACAAAAAAACGAAACCCTCTTTTTCTATTTTAATGTAAAAATTCTTTTTTTTTGTAAATAAGGAAACTATGGACTGTGTAAAGTATTACCTCAACTTTATGATGTCTCACCAGATAAAATATCAATGAATGCATCACTATTAGTAAGTTTATTACCGCAATGTGAAACTCCTGAAAAATTAGCATTATTACAACTTTTTACTTTAATAGCTCAAAAAAAGCCGACTGTAAGTAAATATTTTTTTTTATTTTTTCATTGACCCATAATTTTGATAATTTTTTTATTTTTCTCTTAGGTTTTAGAATCAAGTTTAAAGGATTTATTAGAATTTTTAAATGATAAAACAATTACGTTAGCTACAATGTCTGTATTACTTAAATTTGCAGAAAATAGACCTAATTTAATTTTAAGTTATTTTGATAATATTAAAAATTCTGCTACAGAAAATCCGACAATCGCTTTGGCTGCACAAATATTATCAACGTCGGGTAAAATTAATAAGGTAATTTATAATTTAATTATTATTTATAATTAAAATATTTAATTTAAAAGAAAATATATATTTTTATTACCTTTGGTAAAAATGATAATTTTAGGAAAAAGCACAATCAGCATTAGATTTTGTTCTTGAACATTTACCACATGCTGATCGCACAACTCAAACTATATTAATGCAAGAAGCAACAAAATTATGCTCAACATATCCTGTTTTATTCAGTGATAAAGTTTTATCTTGCATAAGGCAAAAGAATACCTTAAGGTTTGCTATATTTTTTTTGTGAAGCATTAATTTTTTTTTATATCAATAAATTATTTAATATTAATCAAAATATAATAAAAATATTTTAGTCAACAATTATCAACGACTGAAATAGCTAATAAAACATCGGGAGGTGTTACAATAGTTAACTTAAATTCACCTACAACAATTGTCACATCTTCTACAATAAGTACGATATCAAAACCACCGCTTTCAATTGCTGCGAATTCAATTGCCATAACAACTGCTACTACAACAAATTTAACACCGTCAATTGGAATCAATAGTATAACATCAAATACGATTTCAGGAAATCATGTTGTAACAATCAGCACAAATAATAGTATAAGTACGGCAGTGTCAGCAATTGAATCAGCAATAACAATACCAGCCCCAGTACCTGTAGCTTCTGTTACGACAACCCAGTCACAGTCAACACATACTGGTTATACGAGACGTGTTAAATTAGGAGATTCCAGAAGTACAGGAAAATTACATCATTCTAGTAATACACATAGAAGCATGACAAGACTGCATGGTTAGTGAATTGTTTGAAATTTCAATAAAAATAAATAAAATCGAAATTTTTTTAAGGAGGATCTGTTGGAGGATTACATAAAAGTATCGACAGGTTAAGTTCATCACAACAAATTAACAATGGCCATTCTAGTGGAAATGTTGCCCAACAGCAAGTTAATACTCCAATACCTTCTAACAATGTACATAAAAATACATTTTTATAAACATTTATATTATTAATATACACACAATTCTTTTACAGTACATATTTACTCTGGGTATACCATCAACAACAAAAATTACTTCTGGTGGTGTAACTGTAACCGCTGGAGGGCCTGTTACTTTATTAGATCCTTTAAATCAATCGAGCGGTTCGATTTCAACAACGCCCACTGTCAGTGCTATGCAAAAATCTATTACCTCTTTTCCAGTTAATTCCGTAAGTTTTTATCTTAAAATATCATATGAAAATTAATTGTAATTTCATGTTTTGAATATATTTTTATAAGCAGGAAGTTGTTGTGTCTGGACCTACTACAAATGTAACTAGACGCAATGATAATACCAGTGTGACACTTTTGAATGCAAATAGTAGTATTATAAATCAAAGGATGAGTACATTTGAACCGTATCAAATAATGCGAGATCCTGTGCAACAATTTTGTGAAAAAAATTTTCATTCAATTAAAAAATATATGGACGAGTCATCACAATTCTTGCCACCCCCAACAAAATGCACATTAGAAGGTAATTAAAAATATATTTCATTTTATAGAAAATTATTGAATCTTACTTAAAATAATGATCTATTTTTAACTATAGAAAGGCGAAGTAAAAAAATTGCAAAATTACATTTCGCATGTCAAATTCGTGGACCACATTGTTTGTACTCACAAAGAACATCATGTTTTACAATGCGAACTAAAAATCCAAAAACTTGGATACATTTAATGTTTTTAGATTTTCAAGTTAGAAATTATGTAAGTTATATTATGAAAGTTTTTGATATTCCGTTCATAAAATTATTTCATATTATAGGTTAAAGAAAAATGTGTACTCAGTACACGAGAACCTGGTATTAGCAATTTAAAAAATCTTTGGCAATTACTTAAATGTGAAAATCCAACTTTTACAGAATTGGTAACAAGTCATTTTCCATCAGTTAAGGTTAGTAATTAATTTAGAATTCCAAAAACAAATTCATATAAACAAAATTAATGTAAATAGGATCGGGAACATTTAGTTAATGAATTACGACATTCTGGATTCCTTGATGTATTCGAAGTAATGAAAACTGATAAAAGTAAACCTAATGCAAATGAGCTCGAATATCAATGGGGTTGTTTTCTATGTAATCATCCTGATCGTGCAGCATTTTTACATGGTAATAATCAACCAATTATTGAAGGTCAATTAAAAGAGAAAAAAGGTAAATGGAGATTATTTCGACGTTGGCGTACCAGATATTTTACATTATCAGGAGCACATTTATCTTGCAAAGGATCGGTAAATAAAATAACATTTTTTTTTTTCAAGAAATACAACCAAAAAAAAGCTGATCCGATTTATAATTTTAATTTAAAATTTTTTAGAGTGGTGGTGAAAGTATTGATGTAAATCAAATTAGATCTGTAAAAGTGTCAAGAGGTGCAAGAAATATTCCAAAAGCATTCGAAATTTTTACTGGTGATCAAACATTAATTTTAAAACCAAAAGATGAAAAAAGTGCTGAAGAATGGGTGCAATGTCTTAGTATAGCTGTAGCACATTCACAAGCAACAGTTAAAACACATAGTCTTCCCTCACGTGGTATAGGTAATAACATTAAATCGTTTTAAACGATGAATAAAATTTATGTTTTTTTTTTTTTTATATAATTTTATTTTTTAAATATCTAAAAGATAAAAATAAAATTATATTATTATAAAAAATTTTTATATTTAATTTGTAACAAAATGACGTAATTGTTATTTAAGTAAAATTAATTTAGATTTTCATATAAAAATTCCAATAAATGTTGCATTGCTAAAAGCAATTCGGTAATAATTATTTAAAAAGAAAGAATTTTGTGGCCTATTTTTATTATTAAATCGCCATGACAGGCTGATATAAATCTTTAAATTAATATTTATATTTTAATGTTATTTCATTTGGTTTTAATTAAATAAAATTTTTTTTTTTTATTATTTTATGTTTTTGTCTTAAAAATAGTTAATTTTATTATTTCGTGGCAAAAAAAAAAGAATATTAAACTAAAGGTGTTAATATTTGTATCTCAAATTTTAAATTTGCTTGAAAATCTAATTAAGTTAAAAAATAATATTTCAAAATTATATAAGTCTTTCAAAGACTGTGTTAAATAAGATTACAAAATATTTTATTTAAATAGGTACTAAAGAAACAAAAGAAAAAAAAACATTGAATTTGTAAAGTAAAAAGTTGAGTTTTGTTAAAAAAATTATTCTGTTTTTTTTTTTCCTCTCTTATATGACTTAAAGAAAACAAATCTTATATATTTATAGTATATTTACTGTTTACTTAAATTATTTTATAGTGTTATTTCATAAATTTTATAAATGAAATTAATATTGAAACAAAAATATTATAAATTTATTTGCGCATGATATATATAATATATTTAATATTTTTATAATAAAATTTATTTAAAAAAAAAAAAAACATAGCGATTAAATAACTTTTTATTAATTTATTATTTAATTTGGAGGATGTGTTTGTTCTTAAATAATTGAATCATCAAACAATTTATTAAGCATAGTATGAACTTCATGCGGCTTGTATTTAACATATTTTTCAGGATTTTTACTAAATTGAACTTCAGCATACCTAAAAATGCACATTTCAAACAAAAAAATTAAATTTTTTTTTTTAATTAATATTTATTTTAATTAACTTACGTTTCATAAAATTGATTATATTTAGGAAGAATATGTTCAATATTGTCACGTTTTAAACCTTCACGTAAACTTATATCTGGTATGGAAATGCCTCTTTGTGTTTTACATATATCTTCTAAATCTTTATTGAAATTCTAAAATGAAATTTTTTTTTTGTTATTTATATTTTCAATATAAAAAGTAACAATTAACTTACAGAAAATCTATCTTTTAAAATTTGTCTTTCTTTATCCTTTACTTTACCATTTATAGGTCTTGGTAATTCATCTAAAATTATATTACTCAATAATTTAGACCATGATTTTTGATATGAAATTTTCAATTCATTTATGATATCTAAATAATTTCTTTCACAATCTGGTGATGCCAATATTACAAGATCCATTAAATTTGATCTTTGTAAAGATTTCAAAATATAAAATATATTATTCAGCCTAAAAAGATATTTAGTAGCAGAATCACTGTAATATTCACATTTTGCAATTATTGTTAAATTTAGTTCCGATAAAACTTTTTCTACAAAATTAAAAAATAAAAATAAATTATTATTATTATTTTTAATATATTTGATTTTGTTTTTATGTTTTTTTTACTCACTGATATAAATTGCAAGCAAAGCTTTATTTCTTTCTTCATGACTTAATGATTTTTTCATCAGAATAGTATCAAGTTGACTAGAATATAAAAAGTCTCCTTCAAATATTTCACCAACAACATCATAATGTTCTAATAAATTTTCAATAAACCAAATTGTATTTGATGTTAGTTCATGAACTGTTGCATCTTTCGGTACATTTGAATAACCACCCGAATAAGCACTCGTACTCATTCCAACTAAATTTGTGCCGGAATCTTTAACTACTTCTAAAAATTGCTCTAAAGCTTTGTTTCCCTAAAAAGAAAATTAAGTATTTTTATTTTTTAAAATAAAAGAAAGTTTTAATTTTTTGAAACACTTACAGTTTGTTGCAGTTTATTTAAAACTTTACGAAGTTGATCTTTTTGATGTATATCACAAGTTCGATCAATATCTGGTTGTAAGATAATTACTCTTTTTAAAGCAGAAAATATACCTAAAACTGATGTCCACTCTTTTTTTGCTATATTACGAATTACACGATTCGTTATTGCCTAAATATTTCCAATTAAAATAATTACTTAATAAAATAACAAAAATTGTTTTATTCATGAATACCTCAGCATCTTTAACTACCATTTCTATTGAATTATAAGCTAATTTTGAAAATACTTCGGTATGTTTTGTTTGTGGAATAATATCGTTTAATAAAGTTCTTTCCCAAACTAAAAGTCTTTGAAGACCTAAAAGAAGAACTAAATATTTATCTAATTCTTGATCTCCGTCCATATTGTCCTCCACATTTAAATGTTCAGAATAGGATGAATTTTTTTTCAACGAAAGTCCGGTTGATTGTTCTATAGTTGAAAGCATTTTACTTGCTTTCTTTTCAAATCTGAAGTTGAAATTTTCAATTTAGTGTATGTTTTTATTTGATTGAAATCTTTTAGTTTTTAAAACTTACATATGTTGTAGCCTTTGTGATGTTGTTTTCTTAGTTTCAGATCTTCCAATATATTGTTTTCTAATAGGTTCATTACCCCAACTGCCACTCTTTTGATGATCTTTTAAGTTTTGCAATGAACGAAAAACTACTTCACTTCTCTCATCAGAATATATTTCAATAAATTCTTTTCTCAAATTTTGTTCTAACCAAAACGAAATGACTTTAAGTTCTTCTCTTGTATTAGGAGTAATTTGTTTTATGGATGAACAATCTTCATTTGATGAATCTTCATCCATATATATCAAATCTAATAAATCGACTGGTTTTAATGGGCTACTATGTTTTTTTAACATAAGTTTGTAATAGTTATTTAAACTTTCACAACCAGTATTAAAAAGACTGGTCACATTTTCCAATTCAACACTTTGAGAATTATTTTCCAAGAAATAATTCATTGCAACTTTGAGACGATCGAGAGCTTGAAGGAATGGTGTTACATTCCCTTCATTAGGACCTCGGTGAATTAATTCACATACTTCTTGTGAAGCATCATAGTGAGATAATACTATTTCAAGCCCTTGTAATGTTGCATCCAGGTCTAAAAACGGAATTGAATTATATTATGTACGTTTAAATTTATGGTTATACTTGGGTAGGTAATTACTTTGTTGCCTTTTCTGTAAGTGTTCTGTTTGGCTGTAAACTGGTAAAATAGTTTCTTCTAATTTTGCCAATCGATTTTCAAAATTTGTTAAAATTGATGACATATTTTTTGTTAAATCATGATACTTATCTACCCGATCCTTTAAAATTGAAAAGTTGGAAGTTTCCTACAATTCATCGGATAAGATTTATTTTACTTCTTAAATATATTTCCGATTAATTTCATATTAATATTATTTCACTTACTTTTTCCAACTTATTTCCAATTTTTAATGTATTATCTAAAGAAGTCATTTCAATTACAATTTGATTTCCCAAATATAAACAAGAAAATTTTTATTCATTTATTCGTCATCTATCAATTTAATTACAATTTTTACAATTTGCTATTTGGTATTGCCAACTAAACAAAACACGATGAAAAAAGATTTGAAATTAATGAAGAAAATAAATAGCTAGTTTCATCATTTTTGCCATGCTAGTTAAACCATTTTTAATAATTTTTTTTGGTTTTAGCACTAAAATTAAGAATTCATATATGGCAATACTATTCAGAAAAAATCAGCTGTTTCTTACAACCCTATAAGAAATAACTAGTAGAAATGCACCCAGCAATTTGTTTATGTTTTCGATTTATCGTTTCAATATTCACCGTTTCATATTTTGTGGAATATAATATATGAATATGTAAAAATTTCTTCTTAATTCGTTATGCGACATCTATACTGTCTCAAATTACTGTCAGCTAAATTAATTATGTACTTCAAAATTTGACCGCAAGAGTTAATTAGTGTTTGTAACTGTGTAAATTCACCACGATGGTGAAAAATTTTTTTTTGTTTTCAAAATTATAAAATTTTGAGGTGAATTCAAAATCGAGTGCATTCCGGGAGTTATTTATTACGGGAATGAAAAATTTTTCAGGTGACAATAAATTTTCTTTAAACAACTTTAACTACGTAAGGTGTGGTATACATACAGATTATAATACAAATATTGAATAATAAATAAATTGGTAAATAATTAAAAATAAAATGAGATGACCTATTCAATGTAAATTCAGCGTATATTATGAAAGTTGTACAATAAATAACAAATAATATCCTTCTAACAATTTAATTTATTTTGTTTTACTAATTTTCACAATGAATGAATATTCCATATAACCTGGTTAACACCTGGTTGTTGTTTTCATAAATTAAAATAAAACTACTCGGTAGTTTTTTAAATTACAAAATTAGTTGAGTTTTTTTTATAATCATAAAGTGAATTATAGCTGCGCTCTTTCTGTTTTTAATATAATAGATTTATTAGAACTGCGTACAATTTATTTTACCACATTAAATCGATGGTTCGTTGTGAATGAACATAACTGAATAAATGCGATTTCTGAGTTATTTGTTATACAGAAATAAGCACTTAAAACATTTCTTTAACTTGAACATTTCACTTCAATTTTTTGTAGAAAAGCACCATTGCTTTAGCTTGAAAATGATCGCTTACATATTATTATAAAAAAATGCTACAGTGAAAAATTTATTAACCTCAAAACTTTAGAATCCGGTTTTCTCAAATATGTAAATTTTGAGTTAAATATTTCAGTTTTACAGCAAACTAGCAAGATGAATTAATTTAATTAGTACAAAGGAACATAAAAACATAATTTTTAACAAATTTTTAAAATTTATAAATTTTTACACATTAGAGATTTTTTAGAATTGCCTAATCTTATTCCCTAAGACCACTTACAACAAAACTGGAAAAAAGCATGCTAATGGATAAATTAAAACGAAGAACAAGGTCTAGCATTTGTTCTGGTCGTTCTGGTTTTGCTAAAATAAATTTTCATAAATACGATTTTAAATGAGCTTTAAAAAGTGAAGGGAATTCAAAAAGAAAGAAAATTTATTATTTTTATTCTGATATTTTTGTGTTTTATTAGGTCTTTATTTATAAAACAAATAAATATAAGCTGTCTATAAAAATTTTTTAATCTATGAAAATTCTTTTCATGTTTTGCCTTTCTAATAAATACGATAATAATAATAATAACGTAAAACTACGGATTACTTTCCAAAAAAAAAAAAAATTATATAATTTATATAAAATAAAATAAACACAAAAACTATACAGAAAAGGAAATAATAAATAAATATTTTAATTAAAAAAAAAATTATCTTATAAAATTATCTTTATATCTATTACAAATATCTAAAAATACATATATTTAATTTTTATTATTCAGAAAAAAAAAATTAATATATAAAATAAAAATATTTCATATTTTTAATATAAATAATTTTGCATTGGTTCTTCTGGTTTTCCACATGATCCATAATATTGTAATCTTACTAAATTTCTTGTTCGACAACTTTCTAAATTCAAGAAACATAAATTTGTATATGTTTTATTATCTGTACCACAAACTGGTTCAAATTCTTTTGGGCATATTCTAGCACAACCTTTAAATGAAAATGCACCTAAACAACGATCAATTGGTACAACATAAATATGACGACCACAATTTTTCTGTTTCATATGACATTCATTTTTATAAAATTGTAAATCAGAACCGCAAACGAAATTTGATGGTTGTGAATCACAATCAGCATTACAATATTGTGTTAATAAACAATGTTTTAAATTAATTGGTACAACATGTGATTCACATGTACGTCTCTTAAATTCACACATCGATGGATATGTATTTAAATCAGAACCACATATTGGCCCACTTTCAACTTCTGATGTTGTACAACGATCACCGCAATCTTTTTCTTTTCCTTTAATATTTGAACATTCACCAACATGTGCCAATTGAACACCACGTAAACAAGTTGCATGTGCTAATTCACATTCGCTACTATATACTTTTGCATCGGTACCACAAAATTTATCATTTTGTTTTGATGAAAATATACCACCAAATAATTTATTAAATTCTTTACATGTTGGTAATTGTTTACAACGATTTAAACGACTTTTACATTTATCCATACTAACTTTACGTATCGCTTTACGATATGATCCACAATTTAACATTTTTAATTCACATAATGATGTATATACATTGCCATCGCTACCACATACATATTGTGTATCATTTTTTGAACATTCAGTTGGACAATCTAATTTTTCATCATTTGATGTACGTTGCTCCTGTGACATACAATATGATAATGGTACCTCAAATATATGTTTACCACAATTTGATGATCTCATTTTACATGGACTAGCATATAAACGTCCATCAGAACCGCATGTTGGTCTTGCTACTCTCCAGCATGATTCACGACACATTCTAGTACTTTGACAATGTTTACGATTTGTTTTAACAACACCTTGACCACATGTTAAAAGTTTCATTTCACATGTTGAATTATACACGTTGCCTATATTTTACGCATTTAATAATACATTAATATTATTCTTATAAATAATAAATTGAAAAAATATTTAAAAATATTTAAATTATGAAATAAATATAGTAAATTTTTAATACCATCAGAAGCACAAACTGGTCCATCTCTTGGTGCGCTATCACAATTTACTGGACATGATTCTCTTATAGCACTTGTATTAGTACATGGTCCAACATGTGATAAAGTAAGTGCAGAAGCTCCAACACGGCACGATTGTACTCGTAGCATACATCTACAATAATAATTATTTTATATTAGAATAATGTAGGTAATTTTTTCTTTATATTATAAAAGTTATACCTATTTAAATATGTACGGCCATCTGAACCACAAACTAAATCTTTTTCAGTTGGACAACGATGTTTACAATCAGATCCTTTAGCTCTTTCACATCCCTCTTTATCTTCCTATTATAAATAATACAAAAGATGTTATTAAAATTTTTCTATAATAATTTTTTGATATAAGATTCAACAATTAATTATTATATTTGAATTTTTAATGAGATTATTGAAGTTTACAAAATTATAATACCTTAATTTACCAGATTACATATTAATTTTAAATTCCATATTATATTTAAGTACAGTTTATTATTAAATTTTAAAATATAAATGCTAAATTTTTCCTATAAAATAAATTGATAAATCGTTACTCCTTCAATTTTGAATAAAATAATTGTCTAAATAACTTTGTGTACATTGCGGTAAAAAAGTTCATATTTGCAATAACCGAAATGTTACTAAAACGTCAAATAACTCAATAATAGCATTCCGTTGCTTGTAAATTTGAAAATTAGTGTTACCGATTGATAAATTTTAAATATTTACGAAAATCTACTTTATTACTATAATTTTTCGTAAAAAATTTAATCCAATATAAATACTTTCTTTCATTTCAATGAAAATCATTGAAATTATCGAGTAATAACTATGTTTAGTTATAGTATAAAAATTTTTACTACAAATTTAATTTAATTATTATTGATTGCCAGATTTTTACATATTAAATTGCCGGATTAAATTATTTACAACTTTCATATGGAAAAAGGATTAAAATTAGTGACTAATTAAAGTAATCAATATTCCAATTTTTAAAATAATGATTTTTGTAAAAAAAGTTTCTCTCTTTAGTCTTTCTAATTTCGTTTTTTTTTTCATTAGTTTCTTTTTTTTTCTTTTATTGATCTTACATGAATACAATTTATTATTCCTTAACTAAAATTGAAGGCTAAAATTAGTTTTTTTTTTTTTTACGGTATCATAAATTATTTTAAAGCAGAGAAAAAATGAAATAATAAAATTAATAAGTTCATGTAAAATTAAAATAATAATAAGAAAAAGAAAATTTATCATAAAAAAGAAATTATTTCAAAAATCTTAAGAAAATATAAAATAGCGAAAATAATAGAAGTGAAAAATAAAGAGCAAAAATTTTTTTTAAAAAATTTTCAAAAACTTTTACTTAGTAATAAAATTTCCCTCATTTTTCTATTTATTTTTCATTTTCTTTCATTTTTTTGTTTTTTTTTAATACTTTTATTACATAGTCATGAAAGAAAGAAAGAGGAAAAAAATTAGGCAAGGAAAAGTTTTGTAAAATTCCACGAACTACCATTTTCGTATATATATATACATATATATGTATGTATATAAAAATAAGACAATAATAAATTAAAATCTTAAAAATAACCTGCATTTTTACAAGGTATATATACATCTAATAACTTATACGGTATTTACAGGGTGAATTAAAATTTTTTTGTCACTAATATAAAAAACTACAAAAAAAAATATACTATTCTCAAAAAAAAAAAATTAAAATAATTTAGATAATATTGCTATTAAAAATTTCCAAAACACGGTAAGTCGTTTTCTTGACAATTTGACTTTATATGCTGTGTTGGTTCCGAGTTCGACTTATAGAAATATAGACTTTATAAAAATTATAGACTCTTCGAATGTACCACCTAATTGGAACGTAGTAATAAAGGTAACATTAAGATAATATTATATATTTTTTTGAAAGTAAATTGCAACAATTAACAGTAATTTCTCTTGATTACGGGCAGTTCCATTTAAATATACTATGTGTTCTATATAAATTCTGACATTTTGCCACTGAAAATTTCTCTTGTTCTATTTTTTCAACTTAAAGCTGAATAAAATTTGACAATTATGTGCCTTAATATAAGTCAATATCCGTAAAGCTTTATAGTAAAATTGCTAGACAAATCTTATAGGTAGATTAGTTATTTTAAATATTTCAAAAACATATTTTTATAGTCAGATTATCAAGATCCGGGGGAGTGGGGTATAATTCATTTAGCTAAAATCTACTGAAATATTTTTACTTGTTTATTATATAAAAATTTGTAAACACCGAACACCTATTACAAGATCACCCATTACAAGCAATTTCAAACAAAATCCTAAATAAGAAAAACTCTGTAAGTGTATCACTAAATCTCATATATTAATAGCATAATAACAAATTCACATATTCTATGAAAATTTTTTATTCCGTATAAATTCGTCTTATTTAAAAATCCATAAATATTGCTCACCCTATATACAACGTGTATATCTAATAAGAAAAAGAAGAAAAAAAAAGAAAACATTAAAATTTCTTATTATTTTATTGTATAATTTACTTCTACTTTCTTTTATACATTTTCCATATTATTATCTTTAATCTTCCTATTTTTCCTTTTTTAACTATGTCTACATGCACCTTATGCCATACCCATATACCTATATTTCCATCTTTGTAAAAAAAAAAAACAAAAATCTAATTTATGACATTAACAATCCGCAAAATTTTTTAATTCGATTTATTATCATTATTACTATTATTATTATATCTACTCAATTATAATCACAATTTAATATATACTTGTATGTGTTATAATAAACTAATAATTAACTTACTGACTTACTGTTATAAATGTACTCAAATAGTATACCCATATTTGATAACTTTTACTATATTATTTTCTTATACTTTACTTACTATGGGAGTAAATTATATACTACTGTATACGTGTTAAATTATATTATTCTCATAGCAGTAATTTTTATTAAATCTCCTTTCTTCTCTTTAACATATATAATAATATAATATACATATATATCAAACTATTTGTATATTTTTCAAAATATAAATAAAACAAAATAAAACTCACCTTGACTTGATTAACTGGTATTCTTGAGCATGTACGTTTTTTCATTTCACATATATTTGCATAAATTATACCATCACTTCCACATACTGGTTCTGGTGGTGTTGTTACTGGTGGACATGATCTAGGACAATTACTATTTGATGCACGATTTTGTCTTACACCTATTATACCATTATTATTACTATTGTTAGAATTTCTACTCCGTAATTTTGTTATTATTAATGTATCATTTTTATTTTTATTATTATTATTATTCGACGACTGTATTGTTGTTACAAAAAATGGTTGTATTGTTGTATCATCTAATATTACTGATGATGATACTGATGATGATACTATATCACTATAATCGTTACTATCATCTTCTAAAATAGTAGGTATATTATCATCAGGAGAATTTTCAATTTCATCAAAATGTGGTGAATTTCGATTAAAATTTACTGTTATAACACGTATTGGTGAATCTATATATTATATTATTATTGTTATTATAATGATGATGATGATAGTAGTATAATAGCAAATGATGAGTAATAGTTGTAATGATTTTATTGTTGATATTGATGATTTTCATTGATAATGATTGTTGATGATAAATATTATTGTTGATGATAATGATGGTATAGGTAACGGCATAGAAAGAAAAATAAAAAAAAAAGAGAAAGAAAAAATATGATAAGTACATACATATAACATTATAAATTACATATAAATATATAGAGATGTATATATAAGTGTATATATTATATTTATAAAGATGTGTATGTCAAATGAATTAAATTTAAAAGAAAGAAAATAAAAGTATAAGAATTTGAACTTTTACACGCTTTTTATTCAAATATAATTAACGATTTTAAATGAATGAGAGAATGTGATAGGGGGATATCATATAGGTTGAATGAGTTGAATATAATATTATGGTAAGTATATATTAGCATATAATATTATTGACGGTATTCATAATAGAGAGGAGAATATGAATGAGATGGTAAAAGAAAAAATTAAATTACAGATTATCCGGTGTTTTAATTGAGGCCTATCGATCGCTTACATTTTTCAATAAACAAAATGAAAGGAAAGGAAAAAATTCAAATTTATTCAAAATTGAAATTAGTAATTTTTTTTTTTTTGTTCAAGCAAGGTAAGGTTTTTTTTTTCTTGTAAGCAAGTTTTTCATTTCAAAATATTTGATGCATGGTAATTTTATGTACCGTAAGTATATGTATACGATATTTGTCTATATATAGGAGAATCACGTTTTTTATGAAAACGAAAGTTAAAATTTTGCTTTTTTGTTTTTTTTTTTTAATGTCTATTCAATTTAATTAGAAAAGTTTATCTAAATTTTCATTTTTTTTTGTTTTTGGGATTCTTTAAGTGGTTTTTTAATCAAGTTTGTGTTTTTTTTTATATTTACATACATATAATTACATATACACAGATATATATTAAAAGTTCAATAGCCGTTTAAAATTTTGATTAGAGATTTATAATTTTACATTAATATTAAAATGAAACAAGTACAAGAAAAAAATTGATTAGATTAAAATTTTATTTGATATTGGCGGCAGATATACCAACTTAATTAAATTATCATAAAATTTACGATATGCCCATGTGAAATTTGATAGTTCATTTAAAATAATTATTATGCTTATAGTTTTTCCGAAAAAAAAAATTTTTATTCTTAAAAATTGTATATGTGTTCCTTTAATTGATATGGTTTTATAATACAATGTGATTAGATGAAATATGAGTCCACCATTTTAAATATAATAATTTAAATGTGAAAGTATATCGTAAATATACAATTTTTGTTATTTAGAATTCGTGAACAAATAATTGAGTCTAAAGAAGAACTAATTATATGCTATGATGTCGCTACATTTTTGTATTTTGTCTAAGAACATGTGAAATTATGCGTTTATATGTAGGTGTACAAAATTTTTGAATGCACCTTACGGTAATTAGATATTTCATAAATTATAATATCGAATGATAATTAGGTTTTCAATTATGAATAACATAACATTCCAAAAAATTATTAGACTTATGAGAGAAGATAAGAGAATATTTTAAGTTATTGTTAGCTATAATAAATATTATTACTAATATTTAGTAATAAATTGTAATGATTAAACGTAGATGGAAAATATTTAGCTGATTAAAATAATTTACAAAATTTCTTATACTTTAAATTTCCGACATAAACAAGATTTTTAAAATGTCATTCGTTATTCATTTCAATAGCTGCGTTTACACGACGATTTTTGTATAAATGGTTGAAATATGTACGATTTATCCTTGTCAACAAAGTTTGCCGACAAGAGGATTGAAATCTATGTCAAACATTGATGCGAAAGTCGTCACGTAAACACGGGTATATTAAAAAATGAATTGACAGTAAAGTAATGAAAAATAATTTTGAAAATTTTTGACATACATACATATATGAAATTATAGTATTGGTATTATTATAATAATGAAAATGTTTTTAATTTGTCAAACTTTTTTCTAAAACATTTCCACTTTTATTTACCTTAAAGTATATAACGCTTTCTTTTAAATAAAAATAAAAAGAAAATAAATTCAAATTGTCAATTTTTCTTTTCGTATGCATTTTAAAATAACAAATAAAGAAAAAAAAAACAAATTATAATTATATGCATATGAGCATTAACAATGAATGATCGGTTAGAAAAATCAATTTCAATACATTAAGCCATTTATTAAAATCAATCTTATTTGACAGCATAGATACGCAAATATAAATATCTACCTTTATATATGAATGTTATAATGCATAATATATGTACATGTATACGATATTGGAAAATTTATTTTTTTCAAGTATATTTTATGGGTGAAAACTATAATATAAGAAGTTTCTTTTTTATAAATGACATCTCAATGACAGTTCATCAATTTTAGAAAATAAATTTCAAAATTGAAAATCCTATAAGTTAATTGCAAGCAAAAATAAAACAAATCTTTTATGCAAAACATGTTAAAATTGGGCGTATAAAATTTATAAAGAAATTGAAAATAAAAGCAATTTATATTATTTTTCTTCTTATTTTTCATTTTTAAATTTTTTATTAAAGTTCAAAAAGTATAGCTATTATTTCTTTTAACGTATAAATTAATATCATTTAAATCACGTATCAAAATTTATTCTGACATATTGGTCGTTTAAGTTAATTATATTATTTATATATATGTACACATATATTATCACAAATATACTATATGCAAATTTATTTGAGATGCGGTTTTATTACATTTTTTTTTTAAATAAAAAGTAAAAGAAATAGGTTTAAGAAATTTGAAAAAAAATACAATTTATTCTTTTTGTTTTTCAATATTTAGTAAAGATCTGAATGCAAATTATAAATTGTGGTACACACATATACAGTTTTGAGAGGTTATGTGTCATATGAGTGTGTGGGAGAAAGAGAAATGCTAATTTTTTTTAATTTTTTCTCAATTAATCAATTGATTCAGAATAAGATTTTTCTTTTTTTTTCGATTACTTCAATTGTCGCTTTAATTGTATACATACATATAAACATAATTAAATTTTGAAAGTAAAATTTGTACAACAACATATTAATGATTTTATAGAAATCAATGGCTATAAAAACGGATGCAATAAAATGTCTCTATTTTAACTAATAAATTCAGTTGTCAGATGAATGTGAAGTTTAAATAGATTGACAACTTTTACGTTAAATATGCAAGTAAATTTAAGTACTTTAATTTGACAAAATATATATAGTGATTTGAATTTCTCATGTATAATGGATGACGTGTTGAATACCAGAATACTTATAGGTATATGAAATAAAATGCATTTAAAAAAAAAACTGTCAATTAATTTTAATTTAAAAAAAAAAACTTTTTTATTTATTGAAAATACGTGTAGGTAATATCATCGTGTATATATAGTTTATAGTGATATACAGAAGGCAATTTTTTTAATAAAAAACCTTATTACACACTAGCGCCCCACAAAAGATGTAGTTCGTTGGGTAGTTACAAAAATTATCTGCTGTATATCACCATAAACTATATTATACAAAATGGTAGTGATATCCTCTTAAAATTTTCCACAGTTTTTAATTACATAAACTAATTTCTATATTAATATTTTTTCTATTGATTTTGCATATATTAAGGCGCAAATTATTTCATATGGTTTTATAAGGTTTTTCATTATTTCATATTATTTAAAGGTTTTTCTATATTTCAATTTAACTGTATATAATTACTAATTAGTCAGAAATAAAATTTAAATTAATTTTATTACAACTAAACTGTATAATAATTGCAATCATATAAATGTAAATAAGTATTTTACAGCATTATAACGAAACATTTGAAGTTTAGAACATTTTTATAAGCGTACAAATTGACGTTTGATCATAGACGAAAGGAAAATTATATACGTATATAGAATGCAATTTTAATTCTTTAAATAAATGATGTCATTGTAATTAAACTTAATAGTTCTCATACAGTGAAATATATTGTTCAATTTTTGCAATTTTCAGTAATAATCATAATATAAGTACAAACAAACTCTGTCTAACAATTTTTACTTTATAATATAACAAAAATGCTTTGAGAAATTTTACGTGCCAAGATTTTTAAAATGCAGAAAAATTTGATCTAGTTCAAATTATTTTCATTGAACTAAATTTCAAAATAAAATCTTTGCATATACTATAATAATATGGTATATACTAATATAAAATTTAATACATTTCATTGTATATAAAATAAAAATATAAAAGAAAAAAATTCATTTATTCTTGTCTTCACTTAATTAGTACCTTACTGTAAATTACTATATGAATAAACAAAAGAATTTCGAATTCATGAATCATGATATTTTGTTGTATATGTATGTATACATATGTATGTGTCTACCTATAACACTCTTTGTCAAAAAAAAAGTGAATACGTTGTAGTGTTAGAATTCTTCCATTTGATTTTATCTGCTGTATTTATTAAAGGCGTTTACATAAATTGAAGCTCTCATTTATCATATCATATTATTATATTTATTATAGAATAATTTTTTTCTAATTGCACATACAATTTTTTAACATCCTTTTTACTTTTGTTCTTTTATTCAAATTTTTACATTGTTTTATTTCTATACTATTCCATTTGATAATAATTCAATTGAAATTTTTCACATAATCATAAAAAATTTAAAAAAATTTCTGTCTGCGATCTGAGCGCACTCTATTGACATCTCTTTTAAAATCTTTATTAAAATTTTATAATTAAACAGATATGTCTAGCAAGACAATGAAGAACAGTACGTATTTGAATGATGTAAAATAGGTATACATATGTAACATACATATGAATTCACAATATTACTATTCAAAATTTACAATTAAAATTTTGTGTAAATTAAAAATACAGATGGCGATATTGTACATTGAGATAA